GCCACTCGGACACTTTTCGCTTGGAAAGATTTAAAGCCATGATTGTAATCATTGGCTGGCTTTCGCGGATTTTCAGTTTTTGTCGCATTTCCAAATATTATGTATAAATCAAATAACTCAATGTTTATTTTAATTTCCAGAGCATTTTAATTTTGTTCCAGTAATCGAAAATAGTCCCGAAATATCTGGCGATCATCTCAAGCAGCTACTGCACCTTGCATCCTCCACGATTTCGACCCGCTTTGACAAACTCATTAGAAATCAAAACCAAATTAAGTGGCTGTTAGTCTAGGGTGGGCAAAATCGAATCTTTTTTCGAATCGAATAATTTAAATATTTTTAACGAATACCGAATAGTCGAATAATGAATATTTTTTTTTATACCTAACAGGGATCCAGAACGTCGGAGGTCGATACTCCATTTAGAAATTATTAGAAACATTGGAAGGTCGGCAATAAAGCGTTTTTTGCTGGTTAATGGTTGATTTCATCATAATCGCTGATTGTCTTTGCTGTTGAATACATTAAAGGCTGATTTCAAAACCAAATTAATTTTATTCTGAGTTTTATCCTCTGCCTTGGATTTGATCTTCCTTATCGCCGCTTGTAAATTAACCGTGCCTGTTTAAAGTGAACGGTAACCGAGATGCAGATATTTATTAAAATAATAATTGAGTTTCTCATGCTTTTCTATGGTGTTCGTGTTATTTTAGTATTAGTAGATAAACCTAGCAAATTTACGTTTGCGTGAATCCTGAATGTTAATTTAAAATAGCGATTAAATAAATTGACAATAAAGGCATTTCTAGGCCTTTGTGCCTAATAGTGGGTCAGACGCTGATTATAACTTATTTCTTCAAGTTTAAACGTTTTTTTCTTCAACAAAACAACACCCCGATGGTTATTATAGCTAAAATACTTACTGAGCAATGCTCAATTTTAGGCTTAATCATTACTGCCCAAATGCTTCAAAATTTAACAATTGTAATAATTTTCGATGATAACAGACCCAACAATTCGTGAACGAGTCAGTGTGCGTTGTTACAACGAAATTCACGATTGATTTTACGTTCTACTCTTTGCTCAACGGCCATGCATGGTCGAGTAAAATGTTTACATATTCAAAACATCACTTGGTCAAGGATGGAAGGGATCACTAAAGAGCTAATACAAAGTGCTAAATGGAGTAGGACCTGACATTTCTTATCTGGTTACAACTTAATGAGTGTTTTTCATACAAGTAACTCATACCAGCTTTTGGAAAAACTTTCGGTCATTTTAAGTCCATGCTATTTATATAACTAGAGATTTCTAACCACCTAAAATCGCCTTTTTCATAATGAAACGCCGAAAAGTCATTTTAACATTCAATTTTAATCAACTTTATGTTCGGTAATGCAAGCAATGGCTAATGACATGTCACCAAGCAATCGGAGTTTAAAATCTGGGAAATTTGTTTCAAATACCTAATCTGGTTTGAGGATTCTAAATTTACGGAACGGTCGGTACGTGAAACGATACGTTAAGCGCAAAGATAAGCATATAACACCATAATGCAAAGTAACGACTTTTCAAATTCGTCTTTTTTTTCTGATAGAGAGCGCCGTTGGGAAATCTCGCACAATTCACGATTGAGTTGGAGACGCGCGAGTTTGATCTTTAAAGACAAGGACTGGTAACCCAACCCTATAAACCCGTTCAGCAAATATACTTAGTATGGACTTTAAAGAGAAATTGTTTTCGCCATATTTTAGCCAACTCAGAATTTAATTATTGCAATAATTCAAAGCTGCTCGCGTACCACCTAAAAAGCTCCCTCACTCTCTCTCTCTCTCTCTCTCTCTCTCTCTCTCTCTCTCTATTAGTGTTTTTCGTCAAATTTGTGCACCATAATGGCGCACAACCTGAACCCTAACCTGGTACAGCCAGTGGTTCTCAACCTGTGGTACGCGTATATTTACCTGTGAAAAAATTATTGCAACTAGAAAATGTAAACTGTCGAACCACATTAAGAAGTGGAAAGTTATCATGAACTCATTTTTTTAAAGTGCAATTGTGTTTATGTGTTCGTGTGGATAAAAAGTGATGTTTTTATTAATAAAAAAAAAAAAAAAAAAAACCTGTGGTACGCGTACCAGTGTGGTACGCCATTATGGTGCACAAATTTGACGAAAAACACTAATAGAGAGAGAGATTTTTTTTCGTCAACAAGAAAAAATACTGAAATAGCAACAATAAAAATATATACAATAACATATGAAAGTTTTTCGGTATAGACTGGAAGGAGCGATACGACCTACGATGATCAGAGTCAGCTCCCCCCATATTCACTATTTTAATTATGCATATAAGAATTATCAGGTTAGTGTATGGTCAAGTCTGGGAAATATTTCACTTAGCAACTCAATTATGCATAATACAAAGATCAAGCCGTAAAAAAAAATTGCTCAAGGCTGCAAACTCCACACTCATGTAGAAATGCATAATGAAATGATGGGCAATGACCCCAAGATGATCACAAAGAAAAAAAACTTTATGTCTTAAAACAAGGTTGGGCCCAAAAAGGCCCCTTATCTGCCGGACCGGTCGCAGAATCTGTTATTGTTATGTCATTATTAACCTATTGCCGGTTGGTCACTGTTGCAGAAATAAATGAGGTTCTTGGTGAAACATCCATTTCGTGTTTGAAAAAATCGGCGATATTATGACATCGGCGCTGGAAATGACATCCGGTGATGGGAATTGCTGCCTGTGGTGCAACTACACCTACCGTACCTTGTTTTCCCGAAAATAAGACTTTTCTCCTCGATAAATAACTCTGTGGCTTGGGGTTTTATTCAAAATAACTGCATTTAAAACGTGTGGGAGAGATTTTTGGCTATCGACAAGGTAAAAGCCCCTATTATCTGCTTATAAGTCTCCGTACCGCTAATATCTGAATATTGATTATGTGGTAGGTCAGGTATTAATATAAATTTTTGTGGAATGTTTTCACTCAAAAGTGCACCCATATCTAGAATTAGATTTATTACTGAAAATGACTTCTGTGTAGTTTGGGGTCGCGACCCCTGGTTTGGGAACCCCTGGTATAGTGTATTTGTATATCATAAATAGTAGATAAATAATAATTGGAAAAACTTGTTTTTACATGCTTTATCTTAGCAATCCGCTATTTCATATTTGTACATAGAAATAGAAAGTAGGTATATCTGTATATTCATAAGCGAACCACTGTGCTGTTCGATTCTGTAATCCATTTGCACTGGTCTGCAAAGCCAAATCTGCTTTTTTTGGTTTTGCTAGTCAAATATGATAACCAGTACCGGTACTTTTCAATAATGTATGTCTGGGGTCTCTACTTTGGAGGGCCACATTATGTCAGCGCAACTTCGCAGTGATGTAATTTTCGAGTGACGTAGTCAGTACTGCAGTTGAAGGTTGGCAATGACTAGGGCTGTCCAAAATCGAATATTTTTTTGATTCGAATCGAATATTTTTGTCGAATTGAACCGAATAATTGAATATTATTGCGCAATCCTAAATCTGTTTCTATTATTCAATAAAAACTCCCTCTCGATATTGTGATAACTTATGTCCGGTTAAATCTAATTTACTGCTGATATTTTGCATAACTATGTTTTTAGAGTTATAAAAGGAGATCCCCTGCCTCTATAAACTGGTCCAAATAGAGGTCTCCAAAATCAGGATTTTGAAAACTGTTGAGTGTTAAGGCTGAACTCTCAATACCTTATTTACTCAATTCTAATGGATTCAGTTTTAATAGAACATGCAAATCCTGTAGATGCTATTTTAATCCTATTATCATTACTCTTATGTTTGTTTTTGTGTGTGTTATTTCCTGCAAAATGATAACAACCATTAATATAGATAATACTGTTGTTCAAGAAATTCAAAGTTGCATATAAGGAGATCACAAATTCAGAGCTAGTTTGATGACTATAATATTGTTACTGTACAACAGCCATCAAAATGCAAGAGTTCAATGTCTTGGTAAATGGATGGAAAATACATATACAAATTATAAAGTATTGCCATCATGAGAAATTACACATTCTGTTTCTAAAAGGTATTGCCATCATAAGGAACCCGCAATACCTGTTTCAGCTTTAAGTCACTTGTACCATGTTCCTATGATTAATAACTGGACAGCTGCAAATTGATTCTATTTATAGAACTATCTTTTTTCTATCTGATACTTATATTGCCTTTTTCACCCTATGTACTCTCTCTCAAAATCGTCATGAATGATAATAACATTTAGGTTATGACCATGCTTGAAATAACTAATCACATGCCACTGGGCATTAGGAGAGACACATTTTTATCGTAATATGACATGTAAGAAATATCGGGAAACCAATTATGCCAGGGGCGAAGGTCGTCTAAGCTCGAAGCGCCGCTGCTTGAACAATGAAAAATTTTATGTACCTAAATTTTAGCGATTTGAAAATTAACCGTAAAACGATTCGAATAATTTGCGATTCGATTTCGAATATTCGGTTTGCATGGACAGCCCCAGCAATGACATATGCAAAAAATTGATGAGCCAGGCCTACTTAGGTACTTGTGGGCATATACTTCAGGAAACTACAGGGGTGGTGACTCCACTACGACCCATAGGCCGGGGCCACGGCCCATCTAATTGGGCCACATGAGCCGTGGCCCATCAAGCTATGGGCCGCGGCCCCGTCAGGAAAAATTCAATTATCTTACCAAAATTTTCAATTTTTACAAAATTGTCAATATTCGAACCAAAAAATAAACTCCTGTAGTATGTGTACCAGGTTAGGGTTAGGGCAAAATTTTGTTCAGATTTGTTACATTATAGTTCTATTATGAGTTTGGGGAGTGTCTGTGTTAGCCAAGTGAATAGTTCCTTTACACAACTTGATGGGCCGCGGTCCATAGCCTGATGGGCCGTGGCCCCGGCCCATGGGCCGAAGAGGAGTCACCACTTCCACTCTCAGGAGAACCTATTTCTGTATTAAAGTATTACTGTATTAGGTGATAACAATATCAAAATATTTTAATCAAAACTGTGAAAGAAAAAAGTTCAATAGTTTGAGATTGAAAAGTCTGGAAGTCTCTGCCCGTTCTTGTGTTTCTCCACGTTTTTTAGTGTGACAGTTCAAGTGAACAATAATTTCTTCACAAGCCATTTATCATATAAATGTAGAGATGTTTGGTCAGAAGTCAGGATTCGGATCTTCAGGTTTTGGCTCAGGAGGTAAGTTAATTATGTCACAAATCCACAGGTTTATTGATATAATTACCTGCTCGCACGATAGACTATGCTCGAAGAGCAGTGCACTGCTTGTGTAGCTACTACCCATTGCTGTATTCTATATGGCATCTCAATAACATCCTTAGATGGTATCTAATAATATAGCCATATTTAAGTACACTGATTTCAGCACTCTAATTACAAGAATAGCCCCCATAATGAAAGACATCAATTATAGCAGTAAGTGCAATTCCTGCCTTTGCGAGACAGTTTTTGGCCTCCCTATCGGCAAAAATGCTCAAACCGGCACTGTTCTATAAACTAAAAACAAGTGCAATCGAAAAACATTATCATTAAATTCTTCAAAAAAAAAATCTGATTTACCGAAGGAAATAAAATTTTACAGTAGTATTAGAGAATTTTTATGCAAAAAAAACGCATTTCGTGGCAATGGCGACTACAATTAATTAAGATAATTATCAGATAAACATGGCGTATCTGCCGTTGTGCCAGACTCTTTGTTTTATTGAAGCAAATGTTAGGACACCTTGGAATCAGAAAACTGTGCCCTACTGTATTTATACCTCAGGATTCAAAACTCATAGTTCCTTAACAGCTGATATTTGGTTATTATGCTTTCAAATTATTAAGCATGTGCATTACCATGCTGTCTTGCCCAGATTATTTATTGCAGTATATTTCGAATTTAGGGTTTGGAACCAATAATTCAGGTTTTGGAAGTACAAGCACAACTGGAGGGCTATTTGGAAATAAATCAACTACATCAGGTGGCTTGTTTGGCACAAGCACGCCAGCATTTGGGGCAAATAAAACCGGTATAAAATTTTTTACTGTATTATGATACACTTCAAAAAGTCTAATAATTTTGTTGAGCATGCTGTCTCAAACTAAGCACACTCAAGTGCTGTAATGGCAGCCATTTATTATATCTTCAATCAATGTAAAAAAAACTATAGGACCATTTTCAATCACTTCTTTTTATAATTGCCTGAGCACATGAATTTACCAGCATTGTTTTGATCTGTTTATATGTATCTTGATTCACTGTATCACATTGTCACCAATGCCAAATCAATGTAGTTTTCATGGTTTTTGACCCTTCTCGTCACCTTATCACATTACATTACAAATACACACATTATCTATGTACCAGATTGAATTGGTCCTTATTAGCTTGAGTATTTTAAAATTAAACAACAGCCCGAAAGTTCATTACATTCGCGGATTTTGTGTGTTTATTTCTTGCCCAAGCCTTGTTCAACAAAGTTTGTGTTTTTTTGTAAATGCGTGTTGGTGAGCGGGCACATGATACTCATCTTATTTTAAACTTTTTTAAAGGTTTTGCTCGCTCTCCGGAATTCTTCATTTTTTATTCGTTTGTATTGTCAGATTGTGGAGTTTTCGAAATAAAACTATCTATCTGTCTTCTTTATTAGTCTATTGTATTCGACTAATGAAATTGGTAAAATGCTAATGTATCGCCTATTCCTCGAAATTCTTATTAAAAAAACTTTGTGAAGTGATAGTTTGACAATAGTTAGGAGGATATCAGCTTTTTCCATAAAGTTTTTCCATAAAATATTTTTCATACTTTTGCAAAGCATTATTATGTTATACATATTAGAGAGGTGCTGGTTATTAAAGAGGGGGGAAAAGTGATCATAACACAGACACCTCAGCATTCGGGAATAATCAATCTGTTTCTATTTCACCAGGCTTCACTTTTGGAGGAGCTAGTCAGTCTTCTACAAGTGGTGGGTTGTTTGGAACTCCAACATCTAGCAAACCTGGAGGTTTGTTTGGAACACCGGCAGCTACAGGTGGAACAAGTGCATTTGGTGGTAATTCTGCTTTTGGAAGTACAAGTTCAGCTTTCGGCCAGCAAAAAACTGGAGGATTGTTTGGTAGCACAGGTGGAACATCCTCATTTGGATCCACAACTACTGGAGGGGGCCTTTTTGGTATGTTATCCATAATACTTGTAAAGTTTTATATGTAAATGATAATTTTAACATATGAATGACTGTGAGTCTGTCACCTCATCTTGTACTTGTAGATCAAATTTTAAATTTGACTTTGACTTGAAGTTCCTGTTTCATCTAGTTCAGTGGTTCCCAACCGCCGGTGCTTTTTTGCCAGTTTAAACCAGAAAACGGTCAAAAACAGTATTTCAGCAAGATATGAACTTGTTGCGACCCTGCAGGTGGTCATGTGACACGCAAAAAAAAAAAGGCCACAAAGATCTTTTCCAGTATTTTAAGCCTGGTGCAAAGTTACCGACAACTTTGTCATTGTAATGTAAATTCATTTTGTTTGAGGCGTCGATCAACCGCAGAACTAGGTATTGCAGAAACTTCTTTGAGCCCCTTTTGCAATCCTATATTGGAAATGAAACAGCAGCAAAATGCTCACTAGAGTTAATTGCGTTTGTACATGATTAAGCATGTACTTGTTCTTTTTATGTGTGATGTTTTATAAGTGCCTTCCTCACGCATAATGGATGCCCAGCACTGCATTTCATTACTCAAATATATGATTTTATTTTATGTTTCACCCATTTCAATTTTTGGGCCGCATATTATTTGATAGTTTTTCTTCGTGTGAAATGTTTTTAAGTGTGACTATTTTGTCTAGAAGCATATTGATTTCAATTTTACTGGCCCGCCAGGGTAGAACTGTTAGGAACCACTGATCTAGTTATCTTAATCTTATGTGAAACTCAAACTGTTTGTTTTTGGTTGATAGGATTTTCATCTGCTCAACAGCAAAATGGCACAGGAGCGGTTAAGTTCAACCCTCCCACAGGAACAGATACAATGATGAGATCGGGGCAGTCGTCTACTATCAGTACAAAACATCAATGTATCACTGCAATGAAAGAATATGAAGCAAAAAGTTTTGAGGAACTGCGTGTTGATGATTACACTGCAGGAAGGAAAGGGGGTAGTGGTAGGTTGCTTCTGTACTTGGTATACTATTTTTTATTAGTGAAAATGTGAAAAAGATTTGACGTGATTATGAGTCTAATTAAGACTGTAAATTTAGGAAGATAAATAAATGAAATGAAAATTGATAGTTTTGACTTATGATATATATCTTTGAAATTCAAATCAATTGTAGAAATATTCACAACTGAGATTCTAGATATCTTTTAATTTGCTGGTTGCACACTCTGGAGAATTAACAGCAGATTTCTATTTAGAAGAATCAGAAACCTCGCAGTTTACATGACATATTTATATTTCAATGCTCGTCTGCTGGTATAATCAATTCATAACCTAATACTAATTGTAATGTCATCATAGTATTGTAATTATTGGCTTTGCATCATATTTAATTTAAATTTCAGCAAATAAATCTGCATTCGGGGCAAGTTCAGGAACAGGATTCAGTTTTGGGGGAGCAACCAATAATACTACAACATCTGGTGGATTATTTGGTCAAAAAGTAAGTTTGTAATTTTTGTTTATGTACGTATTTCACTTATACTTATTCAACTAGTTTTTTGATGCGGCACTTATTTATTTGCTCCGAACACGGCTCTATATAAGCAACAAATGAGGAGTTATATAGGACTAATTAATTAAATTTATTTGGAAGGACTTGGATCTTTCCGTTTTGTTTCACCCTGGGTGAGGTGGCACGGGATTTGAATCTTAGATTTGTAATCTGCTATGCCAACACGGTTAAATCTAATGCCTCGCTTCATTTGGTGATCTTGGTGGTAGAATGACTATTTTTCTGTATTTTGTAGTAATAATTTTAAAAGTCAGCACTCTGTAACCTGCAGAAATGTTTTCGGAGCTCCGGAAGTATGTGCGCCTAGATGGCGCACATCCTGAACATAGTATGTGTACCAGGTTAGGGTTCAGGTTGTGTACCATCTTAGTGCAATACTTTGGGAGCACCATTTTTCCACTTTTTTCCTACTCACAATTCACAATCAGGCACATACATAAATCTGTGTTAACGAAATAAGCATTCTGGATTGCGAATAGATTGAATTTGCTACAAGGTAGAATCATATATAATACTCACTGAGAAAAAATTATTGTCTTTCAGCAAACTGGCTTTGGTTCTGGAACCACTGGCGGTCTTTTTGGCTCATCTACAAGTTCCACAGGTGGCAGTTTGTTTGGAAATAGTGGATTTGGATCAACAAACACAGCTACTACTTCTGGTGCTGCTTTTGGAGGTTTTGGTCAAAATATGGGCGCCAATAGTCTCTTTGGTCAATCTAAACCTGTGAGTTTGCATATTCCTGTTCTGCTGTCAAATTTCTTTGACAATCTAAATTAATGACTAGAGAAGAAATCAATGCTGTCACAAACTAAACTTCGTTAGCCAGTATAGTCTAACATTGTTTATTATGACTACAGAATGCTGGTGGAATGTTCGGCAATACCAACACTGGTACAACAACTGGCGGTATGTTTGGTAACACCAGTACAAGTGGTGGCTTCGGATCAACCGGTGGATTTGGTGGTACCAGCGGATTTGGTACCAATTCTAATGTGAGAACAGTTTTTTATCAAGATATGGTTACATTTTCACAGGCTTTATTAAAAAAAATTGGTTATATCATGAATCAGATTTTATTTTACCTCCAACTCTTTCCTAGAATCTATTTGGAAATAAAACCGGGGTATTTGGCACAGCCAGTACTCAAGCTGGTTCTACTGGCTTTGGTGGTGGCGGCAGTTTATTTGGAAGCAACAACAAAACCACTACTGGTATGTTTGGCAATACTACTGGTGGTTTCGGAACTGGGAATGCATCAGGATCATTGTTCGGTGGAAATAAAACAGCTGGTTTCGGAAACACCTCTGGATCCCTCTTTGGAAACACTGGCAATACATCGGGAGGTTTGTTTGGAGGGGCAAATAAAACTGGATTCGGAACGTCAAACCTTGGAGGTGGATTTGGAGCCTCGAACACAGGCTTTGGTGAGTTTTACAAAAAAAATATTCATAAAAAAGTCTGTTTGGTTGAAATAAATTGCCCCAAAATTATCTGAAATATTAGTAATATTGTTCGTTTATTTTATTTATGACTTCTGGCAATTTGTTGAACCTCAAAAATGATTTACTTTTGTGACTTTACTACTGTATATTGGTTACTAGGATTATTGACCATCTATATACAGCATACTTTAATTTTTGTTGTGATCATTTTATTTCTCTATATTTCAAGTTATTTCGTCAATTACCCAACTATGAGGTAGCTATAATAATTTTTCTAAGTAGATTTAACACTGATACAGGTGTTAGAGACTACTAATATGTCAAGGGCTGCAGCCTCAGACCAGAGAAACGGACAGTAAAAATGACCTGCTAGCTGTCATTTAAAACCCATGCTAAAAATAACCAGGATTAAAATGTTATCTCCTTATCCTAGTCACAATCAATCTATACCTACATATTTTTAAGGAAATGCATCTTCAGGATTTAACTTTGGTGGAACAGGAGGTACAAATGCTGGATCTGGTTTTGGAAACGCAAACAATGCCGCAGCGAACAATCAACTCACTCTTGGGTCATCGGGACAGTCATCTGCTGAGATTCAGCAACAATTGCAGGCTTTATTGACAGCTCCGTTTGGTGATTCTCCCTTGTTCAAGAATCCTGTGCTCGACCCTGCAAGAAAGAAAGAGGTAAAGTCAAATATTTGTATTGTAAAATGACCGTATCACAGAGATTTAGATGAGTGAATTTCTCTATGAAACTTGGTTATTGTGAAGATTATGCATTTTGTAGTTTATAGTTATATTTTCACAGCATCTAACAAGTATTTATTCCTATATCTAGAATAGTTGTGGATCTGTATGATTAAAACCAATTCTTTTTAAATAATTTTTAGGTTCTCAAGCCGACGAACCCTGCGGCTCAAAAAGCTGTTGTATCACCATTGTATAGAGTATCACCAGGTCCAACAACAAAAATTAAACCCAAAGCTTTACAAGGTGGATTATCAAACTCACCTGCACTAGGAAAAAATCACGATTTGTTCGCCGGTCTTCGGGACGAAGAAGAATCAGTCGTCAGTAACAGAAGTTTCATTGGAAGGTTGGTTGATTTAATTGTTGTTTTTAGCCGGGATGTCCAAAGGCAGTGATAGGGAATGGAATATTTGAATACGTTTAAATTTGGATACTATATTTAATCCTTCAATGTATTACATATTATTGAAAATAGTTTTATTTTTGAACTTTCATTATATTTAGTGTTTAATATCCAATGTTTAAGACAAAAAATATATATTTCACTATTGATAGTGTAAAAGCAGTAATTTAATTAGAACATTTTTCATTTAAATGTTTCGCATTTCAACTCATTTTCTATAAATTTTTTTGTATTTTTGGAAACTCATGTTTCTGTGCGAATATGACCCAATTTGGTATTTCATAGTCAAAAATAATTCAGAATTTCTAGATTGTTAGGTTTTGTTGAACTCTGCTTTTTGTAAATTTGGTTTTCACCATTTTCTTTTTGTGTAAATTATTCCCCATGTCTAATTAGGATTGTGCACATTTCATTATATTCGGTTTTCTTTAATTTTTTTTTAATTTATGATATCGATATATGAGAATGGAATTTTCGGAAATATAGGCTTGTAGTATTGTTAGAAAAACCTATAATTTCTAGTTTGTATGGTTTCTGAATAAAGTTTCAACCATTACATTGTTCAATGAAATATAGCATTTCATTTAAATGGCTTGATCATATTTTGTTATCGTGCAGACTACCCCTGTAGCAAAACCAGCTATAACACTTGCTTAACTTTTTCTATCTACCTCAAGCAGTACATATCTTTCAAATGCTTCCATAACTTCGTGTTTAATCATAACCAACTTTACAGTCAGATGATTGTGTGGTTGCTGGAATGCCAAACTTCCGAGTCAATATAGTTTATAGGCGATTTAATATTCGCCAATATCGAATTTTGCAGTGAAATATCTCTTATTTAAATTAATTTCAGAAAAAGTGTGAAGAAGCTGAGCATTAAAGTGACGGCATCTCCGCAATGTACTTTAACAGGAAGTACGACACCTACAGGTGAAAGGTCATCAAGTCGGGCTTCAAGTGCATCTGGGGAGCAGCAGCATGAAATGTATAAAATTCTAGCTATTTATTATAACTCAAAATTAGCTTGTTATATAAAATGCTACAAATGTGAATTGGTTTTTATGGAATTTGATTTTTATCTAATTCTCAACGTGACAAATGTCTTATTCAAAATGTAGATAATATTGATTGAAAACAGCAATTCTCTTTAATTTGAGGCTTCTATTCGAATGTCTATGGATTGACTGACAATCATGACACTCTGTGAGAATTTGAGGAAGATCCAACATTCAATTTATAGTATCCAGTCCTGATCATAATACATTGTGACATTTCATCATACGTTCTACTTTTATTTCTTAGTAATGGTCGTGGGCCAGGAGAAGAAACGCCTGCTGCAGAACGAAGATCATCTCAAGTAACTTTTTATATTTATTTCAATATTTCTTTGGAACAAAAAGATGACATTTATATCTATGTCACACCATTGGCAAAATTTTATTTTTTCACATGTCAAAAAGATTCTGATCAATTTTAATACCATAATTGATTCACATTATTGGAGTTACGCAACACTGTAAGTGACGCCACCCCGGGCCGGCTCGGGGGTGTGGTGCATCATGCTAAGCGTTGGGAATACGCTCGCCACCGCACCTCTGATTCCCCTACGTGGGTGGGCAAGTTCGAATCCATGGGAGATAGTTATGTGCAAGAGGATAGCTGGACTCCTCGCCGCCGTAGGGGGGTTCACGTAACCACTGGTCGGTCACGGCTTCCTCCTCCACAAAGTTTATGCATCTGAAACAAATAACTGGCTAACTATCCAACATGGATCAGTATCCGGACAAGAGACCGTGGCTGACATATCATTAAGCTGTCTTATCTTCTTTCCTTTCTCCCAAGATAATTATGTAAATCCCATCCTACTAGTAAGAACACACCACACTGCTATCAAGGAGAAATAGCCTAAATATCTGATTTGGTCCGAAAAAATCGATTGCATTTTAACAATGTTTAGTGAATTCTGTTTTAAATCCTTGCTAGAAAGTTCATGCTTGTTGGTTCTTGTCACATTTTCCCCCGAGATATTAATAAAAATTAACATTGCAATACCATTGTCAGGGTAGAGATGAGAGAGAAACAATTCCGTACAAGTTACTCTCGGAAGAAAATGATCAATCAAATTCACGACCTACACCATCTGGACATGCAACTAACAACATGGATGACACTATGATGGCATTGAATGTTCGGGCCAGGGAATCTGACCAACAAAAGGACGGAAGAGATCATTTTGGAATGACTTTAGACAAGCCAGCTCAGTCTGCTCATGATCCTGGTGAGACATTTGTGAAAAAAGTTTGGTCTCCTGACACAAAGCGAAGACTTGAAGCAATGCAACGTGAACAGGATTCCATGAATGAGGATGATCAACAGGTGACATATTAGGTTATATCATTTTGGAATGTGTTATTGACCAATGATGAAAAAAGATATATTTGTGGAGAAAGAAAATAGATGGACACTAGTTGACAAGGTACTTTGGTAGTATGGTACCAGCTTAGGGTTAGGCCATAATTTTATTTCAATTTTCCTTATTTTAGTTCTATTACGAGATCGGGGACTGTATGTGTTAGCCAGGTGAATATACCCCCTGCCCATAGGTTTCAGTCCCTTTATTTACATAACTTGATGTGAAATAACTGAACAAAACTAGTTACCTCCATATTGGTACACATACTTCTTTCTGGAGCGCTGACAATATACCCGGCTGATTTAGTCTATTCATTTTGGTTAGAAAAACAGTTCTGGGACAGGAATTCTACTTTTGAAGTTTTTGGAGAAAATCTTGAAAAAATTTTATCATACTCAATTTTTTCCAAATATTTGAATCTAGATATCAACAGAACCTTCTCCAGCTCATATCAAGCTCACAAGAAGTGGATACTACACAATACCCAGTATGGAAGAACTTGGTAAATGTGTCATGGATGGACAATGTCTTGTTACTGATTTTACTATTGGAAGAAAAGGTATAATTTTTCTAAAGTTTTAATAATTTCTTCTATCATACACCACAATAAATATTTTGATTTATATCATTCGTGCTTTCAACATAATATCTGTGGTATCTGACCAATTTGTATCTGAAGATTCTTGTGTGCAATTGCTTAGTCTGGTTGAATACACACGTCTGAATACCTATTCATTAGATCAAAGACTCACGTCACAAATTAAATAATGGCATATATTTTTTCGCTTGTTAAAAAATCAGCATTTGCATTAGTATCCAAGACCAAAGCTACCAGTCCAGGGTTCGAAACCTGTACAAGGCCACAATTGTTACCATCCATTGTCACATATGTACCTACATCAACATATTGTGCTTCTCTGGTTTATTCCTATACCGTGAAAAGTTTTCTAATCGTGATTCGTCATTTACGATTGCAACAACGGCCCTACATAGACGATCAGTACAGAATATTTCAAAATTTTACCGAATAAAAAATCTTTTCAGGTTATGGTTCTGTCTTCTTCCCTGGCACCATTGATCTATATGGTATTGATCTTGATGAAATTGTTCATATAAGAAGGAAAGAAGTGATTGTTTATCCTGACGATGACGATAAACCTGCATTGAATGAAGGATTAAATAGGTTTGAATTTCATTCTTTCGAATTTCAACTGAATCTCCACTATCTCAGTCAAAGTCAAGGGCAATCATTCTACTAAAACTTCTAATTCTTCCATAATCAATACCTATGTATTAATTAGGGCCTGATATAACATGAAAAAATAATATTATAATTTTTAAATTATTTCACTAATAGTCTTGCTGGAATAGATTTATTAAAGAATGCTATGTTATGATATTTATTCTTACTTAATTTTTATAGAAAAGCAGAAGTTACTCTCGACATGGTGTGGCCAAGTGACAAAACAACCCGAGAGCCAATAACTGATCCTGAACGTATATCTTTGATGGGTTGGGAACATAGATTGGAACAAACAACAGCAAAGATGGGAGCTCGATTCATAGAGTATCGACCAGATACAGGATCTTGGGTGTTTCTGGTAAGTATTCACTGATTTTTACTGAGATTCAAGATAATGTCGGTTTGCTGCAGTGTTGATGAGACTCATAGTAGCTCGAGCCATCTAAATTGAATTTTCGGTGCTCCCGAAGTATGTGCACCAAGATGGCGCACAACCTGATAACCCTAACCTGGTCCACATACTATGTTCAGGTTGTGCGCCATCTTGATGCAACTCTTGGTTTAGAGAAGGAATGGGCAAAGTTTTTAGACCGGGGACCAGAATTTTTGCCCACCTAGAAGGCGGGCGTAAAAAGTTACATTTTAATAACAATATTTACAGTGTTGCAAAAGTGGAAAACAATAAGCCTTGTGCCAAACTAAATTCAATTGCAATCTCAACGAATTCCCTGAGCTATTTTTTAGCTAAAGCATCAAAATTTGGTTTTAGTTTGGTTGTGGCAGCATCAGGCGGGCCAGATTAAAATACCCAACGGGCCGGATTTGGGCTGCGGGCCGTAATTTGACCATGTCAGGTTTAGAGACTTCTACTTGCTTGATATTCTTTTCTGAATCAGCTGCTGAGAGAATTTTACAATCTTGCAATCATCAATGACTCCTGTCATAGTACATAGTCAGTTGAAATGACCTCAAACTACAACTCACCTTGACGATCAAACATGACGAGACTTGCGTCCCTGAAATTTTCCTTCGCTAGCTCTTAAATATCCTTCTATAATACTTGTTTTTCTTTATAGTATTTTTTCATTATTTCTACAATATTAGGTGAATCACTTTTCCAAGTATGGCTTGTCAGACAGTGATGAAGAAGGCGATGAAAACATTGATCCTGCCATGAAATTGAAACTTCTTCAACAAAAGTTAAAACAACAACAACAACAACAGAAAGGTGACGTAACAATGAAGACTGGTTTACAGAAGCCAAAACCAGCGGCAGTAGCAGCGTTAATTCCTAAGCATCGCCAACCTTCTCTCGGAGGAATTGACTTGTCTGAAGAAGAATTTATGGAATCGGAAAAGAATGCATTTGCTGGAGAAGGTGGAGATATCACTACTCCAAAAATGGTGTGATTGAGTTTAATGATACTAAGTGATATGTAATGTAAATACCACAAATCTGTTTTACTTATGCAGTGGGTGAAGTAAATCTTGGAGTAACTTTGGGTACTCCTGAAGTATGTGAACCAAGATTGCTGACACCAGAACTTAGTATGTGTACCAGGTTAGGGTTAGGCCATAGTTTCAGGTACAAATACTGCGGGAGTCACTTGGCTAGTCCCCGAACTCGTAATAGAACTAACATAAGGAAAATTGGAATAACACATATTACTTTCTGGTCTGCCATCTTGGTTCACATACTTCAGGAGTACCTAACTTTGTGTGTGTATGTGTGCGCATGTGGAATTTCTATATGAAGTTTCACTCTTTCACTCATTACAGTTTATGAATCACATTTTGATTTTCAAGTTTTCACCAATTTTTGTTCAGTTCCCAAAGCATACAATTTGCTTTTGATTATATTGCAATTACTTAATGAAATGATTCAAAGCATTTGGAATTTAGGGATGTGAAAATTATTGGAATCTGTATAGTACACAAAACCTTGAAGTAAATATCTTTCTTCCTCTGTTCATTTATTTATCTTCCTTCCTTTGTTTAATTATATTATTCTTCTTTGTCTCTCTTTTTCTGTGCATTTGCGGATGGATAAATAAATAAAAGTCATAGTTTGAAGTATGTTGTAATTCATTCAATATCTCTTCTCATATGCAACATTGACTTTGTTGAACTAATTCCGCTCATCAAACTTATCTATGGTATCTAATTATAAGCGTAAAAGAACTTTATATATATTCATGCTCCTGTCTCGAATTTGATTTTGTAAATATAATTGTCTGATTTGTTTCCAAATAAAAACTTATGGAAAAAAAAAGTTTTTTCAATTTTCAAGCAGTTGTTTATTAAGGAATATAAAAAACTTTTCTCTGAAACTTTTTTGGAAGTCAATTTTAAATTTTTTCTGTTTTAAGTATGGTACTTTAAATTGCATAATAACTTTATCCACTTTAGTTATAATTTTCTTCAGTTGACTCCAATAAACATTCAGTAGAATCCAACATCTCCTTCACAAATTTCATTTGATTGAAATTCGTAAACACCTGTAGCTATATTCCAAATTTTTGTTTCATCAAATTTGAAAATACAATTTTCAAAGACAAAATATTTATGTGGGTATTTGAAAATCATTGGTATTTGAATCTCCTCACATGAAATGATCATGATTTGATGTGTGTTACTCTTTAACAATAAAGTTTAATTGAAATGGATGAATGGTTATTAAAATTTATTTGGGTGTTTTGATGAGGTATGTGTATGAGGCTGTGATTTAAATATATTTATTCATTCATCAATTTTGATAATTAAAGAAGATAAATACATTCAAACTTCAAAAAACAATCAATTTTATCAAATTTCTTGATATTGGTCAAATTTAAGTATTTCCACTTTATTGCACTAGTCAAACTGTTTAGAATCATCTTAACTTTTAACAGAAAAGGTGATTTCAAATGATTGAAAATTTTAGTTTGACGTTTCCTAGTTGAAGAACTCTTAGTTTTGATTGAATTTCTTTTCATCAATCTACTCATTTCAATAATCATGAAAATAAATTTAATTTGAAGCTAATTGCTATTGATTGCAATATTCTCGTATCTTATCACAAATATAAACAAGCTTTTCTCTTTACAATCTGATCAATATAATTTAAAATTTCCAAAAAAAAAATATGAGTTCTGTGTTGCTTCAAGATTGCTCCTATGTCAGAAGACAATGATCGTATGATGGGTGAATATGACCAGAATGAAACCGAGCGACAAAGTCCAGGTGTTATTGATGTTCTACCAGCTTCACAACGAATGGCATATTCAATGGAAATAAACACACAACGTATACAAGTGGGTCCAATTTCGCTTGCAATTCTTGCACAGATTCTTTGGCTAAATTGAATTGACTACACCTTAAACAGCAAATATTATGGGCCAAAGAAAACTGTTAATGTTGCACAAATGTATATATTTATAAAAAGGTGATGAAAGCATCATTTTTTGGCGATGATGAACTATCTGATGGATCTGTTGACAATCAACATCAAGAAGAAGTAGTTCGTTCCCCAAGACAAGTTGGAATAAGACAAACTAAGAATATTTCACCTGCCAATGTCATAAGGTAAGTATATGTATATAGCTTGCATACCTCATTATATTGCATATATCTATTTTTTGTTGTTGAATTTTTCTGTTTTGAAGGACATCAAAATGTAGCACTTATTTCAGTACTGATGAAAAACTTTTATTTGATTACTTTAATATGTTTTTAGTCCTGGAAGAGACATCTCATTGTCTGTGATGAAATCACAGAAGACAATTCATGGCATTGGGTCAACATTAATGAAAAGTCAAATGTCTCCAGTTCATCAGATAAGGTTGGTACATAAAATGTAAATATAGACTGAATGTAATGTGCTATATAAAATGTAATATTAGTCTTAAGGAATTAAAAATTTTTCTTGTATTGAGTTTCCGATAGAAAATTTGGCAATCACCACATTTTTTAAATAAAATGACAAAGCTACAATTCTCATCAACTTGCTTTGAAAAAGCTCACACAGGTTTATATGATAAAATTCTTGCGAGTCACAACTAAAGTTATGAATTTTTCCATGTTTTCTTTATACTCTCTCTCTCATAAAACTTATGTAATTGTAAGTGTCCCTGGTGTTATTTATGTCTATGGTACATGGTTTCTCATATGGTGCAGTGGAATCTCTTGATATTTGTAGGCTGTAGCAATCAATTATATGATAAATATTTTGAATTATGCATATGATGATACCAATCCAAAAATCTATCAAATTATTTTCACAGTGATTTTTTAAGTCATCCATATTCTGCAAACTATTGTATGTTGTTTTTAGTTAATTATTTGCCTTTTATACCGTATTTCTTCTCGCATATTTCGCATCACTTTATATTCACTGAATATTGCAACTCTCGTGACCTAGTAAGTTGTTCAGTTGCTTCATCGAAACAGCTAAATTAACCCTTTTTGGCAGAATATCATATTTCATGGGTATGCTTCTTGCGAAAGGAACATGCTTCTGATTCAAACAGACTTTGCCACATAAAATTGATAGCAACAGTAGTGATATATGTGACAAGTATTTAGCAGTTAAGATGAAATTATTGATCAATATTTTTTTATATTTTTCTAGCTAGAACAATGCATAGTACCTTTTCACCCATTATCATTACCCCATATTTTTAAAATCAAATTTAGTCGTGTTTACACAGAGAAATATGGTAATATATCGGATATATTTAAAACAAGTGTTATCACCCATGTTTATCCTTATTCGAAAATTTTGCCACCCACAAAGTTTTTGAAGTGCACTACTTCTTTACTTAAATTTTGCTATATATCATGTGTACAACACTTTATTCTCTTTTCATCTTTTATGCCACTAGAAAAGCACCAATGAAAGCTCCACAGACTGCAAAAGCACCCACAGTTGTTTCAATGAAAAGATTCCCAACTTCAGTATCGATTAACAGAACCATTATTACAGGAAAGCACAGGTAGGCTACCCTCGACAGTTTTATTGGTTTGCATGTCAGCAAATGATGCATGCGAGAAACGTTTGATAATTTCAAAGGGGTTCGAAAAGATTGACCAACACCACTGGTATTGAATAATAATGAGTTATTTTTACCAAGTTTCTATATTTCATCCAGAAATTTTTGCGCAATGAGAAAAAATGAACTTAGTAATATTTTTATTAGGTAATCAATTCTTCTTAAAAATAGTAGGCTATTTGAAATTATCAATTTGTAGGTTACTTAGAACACTGCTGTATTTCGCACATTTGACGTGGCATAATCTGAATGAAGCAGGAAAATTCAATTAGGCATTTGTTAGAAATGACTAGATCAAATAATTTTCCAGAAATTATACGCTCCTCACATTGGTTACTACCATAGGGTAGTATTTAGTGACTTTCTGGTGACCTGCAATTTTTAAATTTCTTAATAACAACATAGTATGATTGTCTTCAATTTTTGAAAACGTGATCTTCTGACTCTGTAATTCGGACAAGTGCATGCTCTACTTACTGATACCCTGGAACTCCAGATGTGCTCTCAAAAACAAAGCTAAAAATGATAAACCATAATTTTTTCCCGTTTTGTGGAAAAGCTGTTAATCTGCGAGTCTGATTAAATTCAGATCATGTTTGAATATATCCTGTCTGTTTAGTCCAATATATATACGTCAACGTCATATTATCATCCAGCGGTGCATCAGGATCACCTTATTAACTCATGCAAATTTTCCTCAGTATCTCTAACATTTATTTTCCCAATGCATTAACAGTTGTGTGGCTGACTCTGGCCTTTACATGGGCCGAAGGTTTCGAGTTGGTTGGGGTCCGAATTGGTCGCTTGTACACAGTGGGATTGTTGGAGCAAGTGGAATTGAAGTCTATTGTGATGATAGTGAATCAAGTGCAGATTCTTTGTCATGGAAAGGGACTGACAGTTTTTCTATATTTTCGGCTGACAATAGGTTTGTTCTTGTGCAAATCTTCAGTTACTTTGTTCTATTTTATTATTTTAATATATCATTTATAATTCATTCAACTAATTACCGGTAATGGAATACGCTATATGTACAATTTTGTCCTTTTTGAGACAGGAATATAACTGCAGATATGCCTAGTGAAATAGGGGTATGAGGAATAATATTCAAATGATATTTCCAATTATGATAGCATAATCGACTGGATATTTTGTTTTAATTAGGTTCTGTTAATAGTATGATTTTTTTTTAATTTCGCACCTTTTTAAGGTTTTCTCAGTTTATGTGCCACATCTCAGTGATAATAAGTTCATGTATCTCATTTTTATCAATTTTGTGCAGAACTTTTAACAGAACATCTGCAATCATAAATAATATTATTTACTCCAATTCTGAATGAATTAAACAGAAATCAGAATGAAAAAGGATTTCAAGTCAAAATAGAGAAAGTACAGTGTGCTCCTCATCTCTACAATAATACTGGAGAAGCAACAGATGTTGATGTTCAGTTCCTCAGAAGTGCTCGACTTCATGCAGTAATGATCACGCCAACTCCTGCTGAATTTACAACTTCAAATATTTCACAATTAAACGCAACAGAAGTAAGATATAAGTTGTAAATCTTGAACTTTCAAAAAGAGAGATCAAACTTTATCAGTTTATTTTTACTAGTTACTCTCTAATTTTGATTTTTTGATTCATTTTCCACTAATGAAAATTCTAAACTTATTCAAAGCTTGTTCTTATATCTGTGAACTATATTGTACTGTAATTTAAAATTTTTAGCATTCTTTTGTGTATTTTTCATACAGAATGAAGAATCTTTAACGTGTCCACAACTTTGTCCATCAGATTCTGTTAATACGTTGAACGTATATGCAGATGTTGCTAAAGATTCTTGGCAGAAAACTGACCGAAGTCATCCAGATTCTGGTATGTTTATATTGATGATTTTAGGCACAATTTATTGAAACTGTTTATGCGTTAAATTCATTGTATGGTTCCAGTTTAAGTGAAAAGGTTAGTTGCAAGAATTCTCGAAATTCACATTGCAATGCTTAACTAAAAATGCAATGTCCTCTAAAACCTTTATTACCCCCCAACGTGGGGAAAGCCAGGGTACTGGTAAATAAATGTTCCAATTTTCATTACTGCCCCCAACGTGAGGAAGGCCAGGCAGGGTACTGGTAAATGTTCCAATTTTCATTATTACCCCCAACGTCAGGGAGGCCAGGGTATTGGTATGTGTACTAATTTTCATTATTGCTCCAAACATTAGAAAGGCCAGCTAAGGGTAAAGGTACCAATTTTCATTATTGTCTCCCAGCGAGAGGGAGGCCAGGGTGCAGGTAAGTGTACCAATTTTTAAATAGAAAATGACACAAGGACTATCAGTAAGCATTTTCTTGTTCTTGTTTTTGAAGGTTAGATTGATTTGATTCTGTATGCTCATTGTACTTATACATATGATGCATTACATATTTTATGCCGGAGATCATGTTGTATTCTAATATGTGCAAGAAATGGGCAAAACAAAACATATTGTAAAACACAGTCTGTTCAGTCATTATATTTATAAAATTGAGTCACTACCTACTGGGTTTCAGCATTCTCAATTTTCAACATTGTGAACTCTTTGCTCCATGAATTTTATTTTGTTTGAATTGTCGACTAAGGGTAATTATTAACTGGTATTTTGTACTAAAACAAATACATATGCATGCTGGTTTATAATTTTGATCTAAATTTAGTTACACATTTATAGCAGAAGTAATGATTCCTTGATATGTTTACAACACTTGGCCTTATCACTAGTTTTTTTATTAGTTCTGTCGATTCTGTCCTTCTGATATTAGGCCTAAAAGCTTGCCTGGGCCAAGAGATTTTACTGAATTATGATTGACCTTTTTTGTCCGATTCTTCTTCAGTTGTTTCACCAGAAATATCCTAATCTTTATTAAATTTGATTGGATCTCTTATGCTTGCCGACTGCTTGCATTGATTTCTTTAGTTAGAAGAAATTTCTGAACTTATTTATGTAAAAATTTGAATTCGTTAATTGCTCTGGTATAATTAGGACTTATCGCAGCTATGTAATCAAAATGTATATAAAATATGACTTTTAGGAACTACCCAACTTACAGATAAAGGGATGTTGAATTTGACATAAAAGCACATGTCTCTTGTGTCACAGATGATCTTTTCCAGCTTATGGTCTCGCCGACTAGATGACTTATTGAGTCTTTCGCAACCCCTCGTCAACTGCCGATATCCCTTTTGTAATTTGTGACATGTAGTTTATTTTTTTTTCATAAATTTCATATCACCCACGACGAGAATAAATATCTGAATCTGACTATGTTAATAAGGAAACCCTGCTTACATTCCATTGAACTATCAGCAAGCACTCTTATTGTTTCTCATTTGTTGCATCAGATTATTGCATTTTCGGTAAATTTATACAGATAAAAGTAAAAATTTTGCATGTTAAAGCAAAGTAAAAAAACAGAAATAAAAATATTTAAAGTAGATTTTCTTTCTACCTTCCTGTAGCAGTTTATAGCACCATGGATGGTCAGTACTAATATACTTTGATACTTCTTTGATATACGAATATTTGATTCGTTTTGGACAACCTGGTATAGCAATGGCACCAGCACACATCTTGGCATCTTTCATTTCGGTTGTATTGTTATCGTTCCCCATTTCCTTTCCATATTCATGTTTGAAATGCATTCAGAATCAATACACATAATATTTCAATTACATTGCGTGAACCAAACATTTTTTTCATATTATTTTATGCTTTCTTTTTTGACATCCTGATAACATTTTATAAAAGTCATCCTGTTTTAAATTTGCGTAAACATAAAACCTAAGTTTTCTTCTGAATTTTGAGAATGATTTATCTTCTGCTTTTTTGACTAAAACGAGGCAGTCTTTGTTTACATGTTCCCAGTTTTTAAAGAGATAGTTTTTTGCAATATGGAACTCCTCAGAAAAATCATTAGTAGTGGTGAGAGGGTTTGAGCCAGTGTGACCATTAGTCCCGGTTTGCACAACCTCGTCAAACGTAAACTTGTCCTGAATTGCAGTGAATATGATCACATCGTTTGTATTCATCTGTGTAATATACCACTGTGTTGCATCCTTCGAAATAATCTCTCTCTCTTCCAAGTTACAAGTTATCTTGTATCCATACTTTTTACGGAGCTTTCCAATCAATTTGCATGATAATTTTATGTTTTTGTCATTACTGTTGTCTGCTATCAGCAATATAGAAAGAGGTTCTTCTATTCTATCTGTTTTAGAGAGAAAAAATACATCAAGTCTAATAATTTTTGAATTCCATATCACCTGGCACGTGCTTATATAAAGGTGGACTTCTACTTCAAATGAGAGTATTTTGTTTGTGTGTTTGATTGTGTGACCAAACTGAGTTTACAATTATTTTATTATTTATGACAATGCTGATATCCATGTTTTATTTTTAAAATTATCGAACATGAGTTCTAATACCATTATCTTAGAAGCATAATATGTAGTTCACCGTACCTGCCCTTTTCTTTTTTTCAGATTTGATACATACAGTTATTACAGTTATTATAAAAACTATTGAAAATATTACAAGTAGAGAGTGTGTGAGTTTCATATCTAAAAACAAATTAAAATATAAATTAGCAATAGGCTACATCTGACATGGGTAAACTTCGGCCCGCAGGCAAAATCCGGCCCATTGGGTAATTCAATCTGGCCCGCCTGATGCTGCCAAACTAAAACCATATTTTGATGTTTTAGCTGGAAACTAGCGAAAGGAATTTGTTGAGATTGCGATTAACTTGAGGTAAAATAAATAATAATAAATAATATTATTATAGTTAGTCAAGGTTTTTATTATATATATGAAAATATTTAGGAACTACTAATGATATTTTGCTGTTAATTCTGGTAATTTGGAGTGCTATAAGTTTTCATGATCATTATAAGCTGTAGTGTTTTTCTTCAATTATTTTTGTCAGGTCATCCACATGTTCTGCAAAATCTGAAATAATGTAATTCCTGCTAAATAGAAATAATAACTTACAATAAGGATACAAATTTTCTTTGCTTTGCAAAGACGTGCTATTTGTTGTAGTTTGGTTCATCCAATCTTGTTCTGTTAAATTCAAGAAATAACCATTAAAACAGAGCTAAATCATGTAATAGGTTAACAGCTCAATAAAAGTCCTATTAGACTCACCTATCTTAACTTGTTCAATTTCATCATCCAATCGTTGTTTAATATCTTGTAAGAAAAGGTAGGAGTATTTATCAGTATCACTATAATTTGGAATAATTTGAACTTTAAGAGTGTTTTAACCGAATGTTTTGCTCCATTTTTTATACGAAAAGTTGTGCTATAGATGACAGTACAAGTATGTAAAGAATATGGTGACCGTATGGTGTATATGGTGACCCATGCGTATATCCACGGGTTCAATCTATATGCGGGTGCTAAAACCCATGGGTTAGGGTTAGTATGGGTTTAACTATCCGTGAAACAAAAAAAATTCCATAGGTGCAATAGCATACAAGTGCAATTGTCATGGGTTCAAATGTACGTGGGTTCAAATGTAATGGAATCAAAGAATATACGAGGTGCGGCTAAAATGAAACGGGACTGACGTCACAGATTGCGCAACACGATTAACCATCGGTAATCAACACTTTTGCAGTGTGGCGTAATATGTGTTCTTTGTTTAACAGCTGTTTTGACACAATATCGCAATTATTTTTGCTTTTCAGGATCCATAAGTGAATGTGATAAATTTCTTGTTGAAAAAAAAAATGCTGTGCGAGGTCTGATTGAGTTTTTTGGCGATAGGGGGTTCAATTGCAGAATGACGATTGATCAAAGAATTAACATTAAATTTTGTGTCAAACTTAGAAAAATTCATGTCAACTCGGCATGCATTCAATCGTTGAGCTTTCTGCTCTTCAGTCAACTCAAGAGCCTTTGGCATCATTTTGGCACACACCTTCCGCATTCCCAAAGTGTCAACCAAAATGGTGCGGACCGTTTCTTTGTCTATCCCAATTTCGTTAGCAATGACGCAAATTGTTAAGCGACGGTCACTGCGAACCAACTGCCAAACCTATTCGATGTTGGTATCCGTAGTGGAAGTGCAAGGCCTCCCTGACCTCCTCCCTGCCTCCACATCCTCTCTGCCTTCCACAAATCGCTTGTGCCATTCAAAAACTCTTGTTCTAGACATGGAAGAATCTCCATAAACATCACGCAACATCTGCAACGTCTCAGTCGCCGTTTTTCCAAGTTTGACACAAAATTTAATAATAATTCTTTGCTCAGTCGTCATTCTTTAATTGAACCCCCTATCGCCAAAAAACTCAATCAGACCTCGCACAGCATTTTTTTTCAACAAGAAATTTATCACATTCACTTATGGATCCTGAAAAGCAAAAATAATTGCGATATTATGTCAAAACAGCTGTTAAACAAAGAACACATATTACGCCACACTGCAAAAGTGTTGATTACCGATGGTTAATCGTGTTGCGCAATCTGTGACGTCAGTCCCGTTTCTTTTTAGCCTTACCTTGTATATGGTATATATACGTATATATATCAGTACTGATGGCAAAGAATCATAGGTCATTTAAATGTTATCATATTTTTAAGCAAAGCAACACATGTAATTATACTTGACCTATTTTTAGTAGTTTCTGGTTTTCGTTAAAAGGAAATTTTCATGTTTGCCATTATGACTTGTAATACATGTTCACCCATGCTGTTAAACAGTTTAATTCATTGATACCTTTTATTGCTTCTCTACATTCACTTGATATAATATCTTTTGAATTTATTTCCAAAAATTTCAGAGATTCTTCAGAACGACAATCTAAATACAGTTACATATCTTATGTTACATTAATATTCTATAGGCTACTTGTCTGAAATGACGATGATATCGCTGAACATGCAAGAAAACCATGTTTCAATAACAAAAACTTTTCGACTCTTTCATTAATTGTTGATTAGATTAAATGATCGAATTGATTTAATTTCAGAAATTTTGTTTACTACCATTAAAAGTTTGAAATTCTGGTTCTTCAATCTAAAAAATTCACAAATTTGACCCAAACTCTGGCTGACTTTGGTGGCAAAACCAAGTCAATAATAAACAAGTCAAACTCGAAACAAAGCAATTCACTCCAAAATAAAACTAAAAATTGCATCATAAATTAGTCATATAGTAAGTATTGGGTGAAATTTCCACTGAGATGGCATTATATAGGTATAATCAATAATATTAAGTGGGGCAGATTCGAAACCATTCTTTCGTCATTAGTGAAAATATGGCAATATTTGACTATTATTACCTGGAATTTGGATTTCCTCCGGTTTTGTTTTCATTGTATCATTCTGTTTTGCCAATGGAATTGAATCGTATGTAACTTGTATGATATCGTTTGGTCGAATTATTTGAGATATAGTAGCACCGTAGTGCTCATAGCTGAAAACAATGTCCTGTAAATCCTGTAAAAGAGATTTTCCCTCATCAATGAATATATTTTTATTTATTGACCAATTTTTTGAGAGAAAAAAGTACTTTTAAGTTGGTTCGTCCAATCTGTATACGTTTACATTTGTTCTTGTAAATTTTAACTTTGAATGTATATAACGCAAAATATTCGGAAGAGTGTGTAACAGTGATGTAAAATCCTTTGAAGTGATGCCGGTGTTCTTGATCAGGAATGTGTGACTCTGAAGATATAAAAATTATATAATATTTTTGAAAATGTGTTTTTAATTTACGAACCAGTTTATAGAAAAATAACAGCAAGTACGTCAAACATGTCACTACATAACTGACAAGTGATGCTGATAAATCTTAATGTCTAAAGAGTTTTATAATATAATATCATCAAACCTTAAGAGATTTTAGAGTTTGCCCTGTGAACAACAGGTGCACCATATACAAATAAGTGCCTGGTAAATTTTGATTTGGACTTTGTTCAATTTGTTGTTATAAATATGTCAATCAGAGAAAACCAGGAACAACAATTGGATGTGATACACCTTAATGTCATTCACGGAACACTGGTTGAAAATCACTAGTATGAACTATTGTTCGGCGATTAGTACTTATTCAAGTTTTTATACATATGGGCTGAATAAATTGTGAAAGTATTGGAAAACCAAAGTTCCTAAAAATATGGCAAATAAAGCCTCAAAGACATTATATCTACCGGTAATCTTGTGTAAATGAGTCAATGTCCAATACCATTTTGTAATAGATGTAGAGGTTAAAATATATAAAGAGGGATACAAAAATTACAAGTTATTCCAACATGACAATGTATGGAGATTGTGACTTGCCTCACCTCTTATACTCCATGTAATGTTTAATGCAATTCTTTTGTTTTTTCCTTCTGTTAGATACCAAGATAAATATGTATCTTGTGGAGGTATAGCTGTTACATCCTTTTTTCTTGGTCTTGGAGGATTGCTAGTTGTTGCTGTAGAACATAACATGATAAAGGTTATCCTTGATTCAATACCAAACTCACTTTTATTATTGATAATATGAGAAAATCAGAATTTGACTTCAAACTTACAAGCTTTTGCAAGTCGTTCTGTTACTTATCAAAGCAATTTAAGACCATACTTTTTTATATGAGACAGAGAGAAGAATATATATAAACCTATAATTAATTTTTCACTCTTGTCTTTTTGCTGTCATTCGAGAAAATATTTATTAGAAAAATTAGGTTTCTAAGAAATAATCATACTTGTTCAAAGTAATTATAAATATACTTTTGTCATTGGTCTATTCAAAGTGATGCTGTATTATCAAAACATAACCATCTGAAATTACATCAATAAGTTCACTTACTAAAATATAATAAACAATACCGGTATTATTTTGTTCCTTATCAGTTAGAACAGTGGTTCTCAAACTTTTTTAGTCCCAGAGCCGCATTTCAAACCTCAAAGTTATGAAGAGCCGCACACAAATACCGCAAGGTAAAATAGCAACAAACCTTAAACGCGTATTTAAAATACCAAGCCATCGTAACAACAACACACGTAACAACTAGGGCTTGACGAAATATTCGAATAATGAAATATTCGAATGGCATTTTAATATTCGAATATCCGGTACCACGTGACCTGCACCGCTCTGCTTGGACACCTAACTCGCGCGTCTCCAACTCAATCGTGTATTGTGCGAGATTTCCCAACGTGGCTCGCTATCAGAAAAAAAGACAAATTTGAAAAAGTCGTTGTCGTTGCGTTATGATTTCATATGCTTATATTTGCACTTAACGTATCATTTCAATTCCATATTTTGCAAAAAAATTTAGGTCGTTAGAAAACTCTAGTTATATAAATAGCATGGATTCAAAAACTACCAATAATTTTTCCAAAAGCTGGTATGAGTTACTTGTATGAAAAACACTGATTAAGTTGTAACCAGATAAGAAATGTCACGTCCTACTCCCTTTAAAGCACTTTGTATTAGCTCTTTAGTGATCCCTTCCATCCTTGGCCAAGTAATGTTTCGAATATGTGAATATTTTACTCGACCATGCATGGCCGTTGAGCCAACAGTAGAACGTAAAACCAATCGTGAATTTCGTTGTAACAATGCACACTGACTCGTGCACGAATTGTTGCGTCTATTATCATCGAAAATGATTACAATAGTTAAATTTTGAAGCATTTAGGCATGACATAATCAAAATCATTAAGTGAAGGGGTGAATTTGCAAATTCCGTAAAGAAAATTGAGCATCACTCAGTAAGTATTTTAGCTATAATAACCATCGGGGTTTTGCTTTGTTGAAAAAAAAGTTAGAACTTGAAGGAATTAGTTATAATTACCGTAGCTTCTGACCCCCAATTAGGCACAAAGGCCTAGAAATGCATTTATATCCAATTTATTTAATCGCTATTTTAAATCAACATTCAGGATTCACGCAATTGTTAATTTGCTAGGTTTAACTATCTAATACTAAAATAACACGAGCACCATAGAAAAGCATGAGAAACTCAATTATCATTTTATTAAATATCTGCATCTCGGTTAGTTTTCACTTTAAACAGGCAAGGTTAATTTACAAGCGGTGATAAGGAAGATCAAATCCAAGGCAGAGGGTAATACTCCGAATAAAATTAATTTGGTTTTGAAATCAGCCCTTAATGTATTCAACAGCTGTCGCTGATGTGAACGCAAGGGTATACTAGAAATATGAAACTTCGATATCCGGCGACCCCTCATTCTTGCAAAAAACGAGAAAGGGCAGGAACTTTAAAGTATCGCCGCCGAAAAGATCGCGGTGACAAAGACAATCAGCGGTTATGATAGACTTAACCAGTAAAAAAACGCTTAATTGCCGACTTATCGATGTTTTTATTAATTTCCAAATGGAGTATCGACCTCCGACGTTATGGATCCCTGTTATGTATAAAAAATAATCATTATTCGGTATTCGTTAAAAATTTTCAAATTATTCGATTCGAAAAAAAGATTCTATTTTTGATCATTGAGTTATTCGATTTATACATAATATTCGGAAATGGGACAAAAACTGAATCCTCCACGGAAGCAAGCCCAAGATTACAGCCACGTCTAAAATCTTTCCAAGTGAAAAGTGCCCGAGTGGCTGCGAAAACGCTTACTGTTGCGTCACTATTGCATCTTGTAGATTAGTCAACGCTACGCAAATAAACACAGGGGAATCCATTCGACTAACTAATAGACTTCCGCTTTTTAATTTCAAGTCAATTAGTTTTCAATGAAAAATTTTCTTTGGAAGTAATTAATTTTTGAAGCATAAACAAGAGCCGCAGGAAAGGCTGTTGAGAGCCGCATGCGGCTATTCGGAGAAAAATTTATATCCTATTAACTTCGCTTTTGAAATGTAAGTCTCAAATATTTCCATATTCATTAGAAATAAACTTTTTAGGAAACATGATATTATAAACATATTTGAACTACAATTCATTACTTTATTGTATAAATTCAATGTTTTTCGAAAAATGCACAGCAATTTGGACATTGTAAATTTGTAAGTTATGTTATACTTTCATGTTGGTCGCCGGTTGCAAAAGTAGAAGTTTGTGTGACTTTCAAGCTAACATCTGCCTGATATTAAATTCATTTGGCTATTGATTGAGTACTTCTTTCAAAGCATTGTGCTTCCTATGATTTATGTTGTGCACACTTAATATAATTTCTAATTTGCTCACCATTTTCTTCGCAACTCAAACATCTTCCGTCAGTTAATCCAATAAATTCTGCGACACCATATTGTGATGACTTGCATTGAATAGCCTTTAAATTCAATAAAGATGGTGAAATAAGAATTAAAAACACTATGCTGACTGAACTTTTTGCCATTTCTTCATCTATACAAGTGTTTTCAGACCATTTCGTGCGAGCTATTTTTTGTCTTAACGTCCCTTAAAATAATTTCATTGTTCATTCATGCTATAATATGCTGTACTGGCATGGTCCTGCTAAAATCTCAAATCAAAAGTAATTACAGTCTTAGGAACTTGTCAATGATTAACAATATTTTGGAATGTGATAAGAAATATTTGAACAAGTTAGATATCATATGCCAGTGTTGTGTGATATCATAAAGAAAATATTGCCACAATTACAATAATTGAACAGGAGTGAATTGAATTGATTATTATTCGAAATAGTTATTTCAACTGTTAGGTCTAGATCACAACAATCGTTAACGCAATATTGAGATTGTGCAAGTAACTTGAATGAAACCGTGAGTCTATTAACTGGAAATTGTTCTAAACGCACCAATCGCATATGTAGAATTTTTAAATCACTTTACAGGCTGCATGATAAGGATGCGGGCTGCCAACTGTATGCTGTGCACAGGGGCGCATCCAGCGGGGGGTTAAGGGGGTCGCAAAGCTTGGAAGAAATTGTTGTTTCCAATTTTTGCTCAAAAGTAACAACATCGTTTTACAGTTAGCGCATCACGATTTCGCAGTAAAAGCAATATTATTCTGCGACCAGGGATGGCCATTTCCGAATACTAAACTATTCCGAATACATTCTAAAATAATGTTTTCGAATCTGGAATTCCGAATACATTCTAAAATCGAAAATAACACATTTTTGTTTTAGTTGATTAAAACCCAGTAAATTAGGAAATAAGCTTCAATAGAAATATCAGAATAAAGCCACAAACCAACAGTATATGTACACAAAGTTTATAGCTATCGATAAAAAATAATAGCAACTTGTGACACAGTCAGTTCATTAAAATTATTCATTTGTACAAATGACCATATGAAAAGATAGCCAAGAAGTTGACTGACGCTTTTTATCAGTGGTACCATCTATTGACAAAAATACTACATGTATTCAGATAATTGTGTATATTTTCTGAGAGTAATAAAATTTATTTGTAATACAGGCAACAACAATCAAAAATCCATTATGCCTTTAAAAATTCTAATATTTAAGCCTAGAGTATTCTAATACCTTTGTATATTTGTATATTAATTTTTGTGAAACATATTGTTATTATGTGTAACATATTGCTGTGTTTGGAATTAGAAATAAATTAGTAGAGAATAGATGACCACCACTGCCAGCCGCGCAGCCAGGATTTTCGAAATCGGAAATTTCCATTGCCGCCTGTAACGCGCTCGTTAAAAGAGCCGTCTTTTCAGCGTATAATGATCATCCTGTTACGTAAAATATTCAATCCATGACAACCACGAGATTCTAAAATATCTTTATATATTAATTTAATGTGTCCAACGTAATAGTAAAACAATACTATTCGGTCCACGGCGATCTGTGACCTAAAATTACGAGATAAACTGCCTGATGTATTTAATTTTAATACGTGTTTTTGCAATCTTGCCAACTCGTTATCGCCGTAAGAAAAATCTTAAATAATTATATAAAATCCTGTTAAGTGTAGAGTATAATTCATTTCATACAATGAATATACATATAAAGTTCAGCAGTAAATTAAAAATTCATATTCATCGCCTCGATTATGCCACCTGTTAAAAGAGTCGACTTTTACAACAAATAATATAACAACGAATAGGTATATATTTTTCTGTTGTGCAAAGTGATGAATTCGTGACCGACACGGGCATATTTAAAATGTCTTGCTTTATTAATTTAATTGTCTTCAATTTAACCTGCGGTTGCGTCGACAAAATAAAATCCTCACCAGTCTTATTATATACCATTGCAATCCGCGGTCATAAAAATAAAAACGCGAGGTGAACTGCCCGATTAAATATTGTTTTGATCCGTATTTTGCGAATTCGGCAAATATTTAGATGTACTTGTTAACAGTGACTTCGCTCGATCGAAATGCTGCCACTCTGATTATTTTTAGATAAAACCGTCGAAAAATCCATAAATATGCTGTAATATCTCAGAGTAAAATTTATTTCATCACAATAAAATTGATTGAATATACTTTAGATTAATTATATTATATACATCCTCACAACCCGGGAAAAAGTCGCGTTTCAAACCTTGTATCGTGTTAACACGAAAATATTCGACGGCAATTTGAGGTAATGGATAATCAGGCAAATCCCGCCCTCAATTAGTGACGATATGTTTCTAAACGCCGACCAAACATAATGTGTGCCAGAGGCCCACGAAATTTTGCAATTTTCACTGCCTAGAAAATCGTTTTTTAAATTTTTGCGGGCCTCAATAAAACTTATATTGTTTACGGTTTTATTTTCAGTATTTTAAATTGCCGCTTTTCAATCAAAAAGTTGCGTTGTCTTTAGAAACTCGCCGCCGATGAACGTATTTACCAGATTCACAATTCCGTGCGCCTACAAAAATAAAATAAATGTTATCGTTATCGTGGAACAAATTTGTAGAAAATTTTCGTTTTAGAGAAAATAACACAATCGTAAAGGCGTTTACGGGCCTAAATAACACGTTACGCTGATGAGTGATGAAAACAATCACGCGCAAGTTTCTATCGAGAATGTTTTTATTCAACGGAAACGTCTCGAAAGCGGCGTGGAAAATGTGTGACGTCACACAAATATCCGATATTCTTATGAACGTGAATTCCGATATTCGAATATATTCGAATACTTAATTCGAATTGGCCATCCCTGTGACTGCGACATTACTTTTTTCAATCAAAAATATTACTCTGTGGAATTTTTCATTAATTTTCCTGGCTGTTTTTATTTTAAATTGTTTCAATTCATGTGTCTACCGCTATCACTGCCATTTTGCATATATACGACTGCATTTTTTAATCATGTCAGTGGTTGCTTGCAAATCCTATATCAGAACTCTTACCATGTTTTTTGTATTGAGTCTTCATGTGTTTATAATCAAGAATAAACCACATAATATGAGTTGAACAGTATCAAAATCGACTTGATATAAAAATTGTCAGCTTTTTGACCATTGAGAAATCATTCCTAAATATTTGAGACGTGGGTAGAGGAAAATAGTTTGGTGATGTCAGATCAGGAATCATGTTATCTGGAGAATATGGTAGCCAATAATTTTAAACTGACATGACACAGAATAAACTATCATGAACAATCTGAAAAATTAAGATCAGCTATACAGAATCACTCACTATCCAATACCTCCTGTGTATCATATTAAAAAGTTGTTGGAACATGCACTTCACTTTGTCCTGAGCTCACCTTATCAAAGCTACATTGATGTCCTTTTTATTTGAACGAGTGAATTCAGAAAGGGCCACAGAAAAGGCCATTTTGCTGTTAAAAACATTTCTGAACTAATTTTCTGGTTTCCTTGTTTTGCCAATTTTTATTCAGTTTTCTTATTTCCTAATCTTCAATACAAGGATCTTTAATACCTTTTGGACTAGTTTACACAGTTTCTTCATATAAGTGTTTGACGACCTAAATTCTTTTGGGTCACTCGTATTTTTTCTACAAAAAGTTGAAAGTTGTAGATTTTATTTTCCATTAATTTTATATTTGGTATTGAAGTTTTAACACTGAGGCCTGATAATAATTGTATATGTGTGTCAAATATCTCAGAATAAATACTTGTTAGCATTCAATTTGATGCGCTTAAGTAAAGCAACGCACCATGTATTTGAAAGCACTACATGCCTACCCATGCCTAGGCCTATCCTTGTGGGTGATGCTCGCTCGAAAAAAAAGGTTGGTGACCAACTGCTCTAAACCATTGTTTTGCAGAACATCTTTTATAAAAGAATATATAATTATATAAAATATTCTCTGACTAATACTGGTATGTGATTATTTAAATAATCCCATGATATGTGAGAAATATACTTTGAGTTGTTTTCTGTCTGACTTTCTCAACATATTTTCATATGAATAAACCACTATTTCCTGCTAAATTATCACTTGCAGGAAAGGGAAAAAAGAATTCGTAAAAACGTGTAATATTTATTAAAATGGTGTAGAAGAATAAAATTGAGGAGCTAGGCAAGTTGCTTTGTATTATAGTAAAGTACTAAGATATCATATCAAGTCATTCAATTTTATAAAAAAAAATGATTCATAAAATGTGGAAAATTGTTATAAACAGTCTATCAGTTGTGATGTATCAGTGTTAGTTGAAGTAAAATTGGTGGAATACGAATTGTATGCTCATCAATGACAATGCGAAACATATACTGTCAGTAGAGGTTCACGAGACATTTCTTATAGTTTGTCCCTTGCATGTTAAACTTAATGGGCCACATAATTTTTGTGCCACGAAAATGGGCCACAGAAGAAAAAAGGTTGAGAACCACTGTGCTAGTTTTATCCGTATGCGTATAACGCAAGGAGGTTGTAGCAGGAATAAACATGACCATACTATGCAATTAAGACGATTTCATATATCAATGTTAGTCCTAGTTGTTGAACCTGGGGAAATTCATAACAGAAATATATATCTGGATATATCAGAGAGCCAAGCTTTGTTCGTTGTATGTAAATTTCTGCTAATTTTATATCAAATCTTATATTTTTTGTGTTCTTTGTTAATTAAAATTTTAATCATTGTTTTTTGCTCTTGTTACAGTCTCCTGGTATAATGTGGGCTTTAATTTAGGTACTTGCATGTTGGTGTTACGTCTGGACTCAAAGAATCTTGTTTCTTCACAGTTTTGTAAATACTTTTTATCATGGGGTATTACAGGGGCATTCTGTATATTCCCTGTGATATAAAGGGATATTATTGTAGTATCGTTTTCTCCCCATGGTCTTTATATCATATTCCATGCCTTTTTGTCAACATTCACGACATTTTTTTGGCATTTTAATCAACTTTTGGCAAATTCTTGCATTTTTGGAATAAGCACCTGGGTAAGCAATAGTTTGAATTCTTCTTCCAAATTTCGACACTGATTTTTCATGTGCGTGTTTCTTACTAATATGAAACAGTCTTTGGTCAGTATGTCGATAGTTTTTAAGGATAAAGTTCCTTGCAATTTGAATTCATCAGAAAAATAATCTTCGCCGATTCGGAGTATCTGATTGAATAAACTTATCGAAGTTGAAATTTTCATATAAACCAGAGAAGATAATCACATCAGATATATTGCATTGTCCTGTATACCACAGTATTGCATCTTTTGAAATTTCCTCTCTTTGTTCCCAATGCAGGTTATGTTGAGGTTATAATCCTGACGCTAATTTTCTACCATATTATATATCGTCTCTATGTTTCTTTGGTTGTTGATGTCTGCTATCATCAGTATATGCAGAGGTTTTTTCCTTTGTCCTGTTGTAATGAGTGGAAAATATGATAGCAAAATATGATCATGATTACACTTGTCACTTTTACCCTCTTTATATTAATTATAAGCATTAATTGAGATACAATGAGGAATACTTCTGACTTTGAGCAAGCAACTAAGTTGCTATTAAATAGCGACCAACAGTTGACTTACAGGTAGTTGTATCTGTTTTATTGAAAAATTATGCTATAAGATTCAATAAATTTTTTCCTCCCCAAATTACTACAGTTACGTCATGTAATGAATGATTAGGAAGTTTGGCAGTAAATTCAACTTATGTATTGTACATGACCTGAGCTTATTCTTTGTAAAAATTGGTTTAAAAATAAATCTTGATTAAGAATTTGAAATTGGTATTTGGGGGATTCAGGATTGTGCAAATTGTTAATATTGAAAACATTTTACATTTATAGCAGGCATTTATTATAGAAAGTCAAGAAATGATAAGTAATAATGAAATATAGTTTATGAATATATTGTGCTGTCAAGTTTTTACCATTTTACTATACCTTTGCATGAAAATATATGAGATTATACATTTATATTGCCATTATACAGATAGCTTAGTTTTGTCTCATACCTTGTTTCGCTTTTTTGTAACATTCCACTATTTTCAACATAATGGTCATCATCAAAAAAATCAGAAATACTGCAATCAAAGGCGGTAAAATTTTTCTATCTGTGATGAAAATATACAGATTAAAATTGTACTTCCCATTATCTTTATTTCAAAAGTATCGTTTTAGATGTTCCGAGTGTTTTTAATGAAGTCGCATGGAATCTAAAACTCGAAATAACGTGATACTGTTCTTTTATTATGCTGAATGAGATTTCCTATAAAACAATACAAATATACTTACACCAAATAATGTAATCATCTTTGCTAATTTGAAAGTAAGAAGTTGAAATAGTCAGATTATGGCTGATTTCTGTTGAATTCATTTTGTATGATTGGAAGTCTGCTCTTGCTTATATTTATTCTTTGGGTTGTGTTGGTTGGGGTCTGTGAAACAGAGACCGTTTTTAATTTTTTTTTTGAAAAATTTAAAACTAAATTTTTCATGTTTTGTCTCAGTCTTTTATGCAGAGTGCATGCCCTCAACATTGAACACAGACGATCGGTTTTTCTTATTGTTTGAAATGATATTGTTTATACATAAAAAGGAATTGAAAAAACAACCAATACTATCAAATGGCATCTATAATATTATATTATTATTTGTGACTTGTATAGATTCATATCCCTTTGAATAATTGTATTTATTCAATATATATATCCTTGTAAATATAACTAAATTAACATATCTTCTCTAAGTGGCTTGCTCCAAGTTCTTTTACATTTTTGGAATATTCATTCATAGTATATCTCATTTAACTAACTTGATGCTCCAGTTTATAGGCATATGCTAAGACATTGTTTCCCGACCTTTTGGAAATGTCATCAATTTTGTTAATTGTAATAAGGAATACTTGAGTTGGTGCTCCCGAAGTATGCGAACCAAGATGGTGGACATCGGAACGTAACATGGGTAACAGGTTAGGGTTAGGCGATAATTTTTTTCCAATTTTCCTCATTTTAGTCCTATTATCAGTTCGAAGACTAGCCAAGAGCCTCCCGTAGTATTTATATCTAAAATTATGGCCTAACCCTAACCTAGTACACATATTACATTCTGATGTCCGCCATCTTGGTTCGCATACTTTGGGAGCCCCCTTGACTTATTACTTTCATTCGATTCTATGAACCTGGAATTTTGATTATTTTTATCTTTGTTTGTCTGTTATCCTCCCATTTTGCCAGTGGAATAGAACTGTAAGTTACTTGTAGGTTGTCATTTGGACGTATGAATTGGTATTTTGTACCATAGCATTTGTAACTGAAGAAAATATCCTGGAAATACATGAAGTTTCTTTGTTGTAATTATATTATCATTATTATCGTTTACTGTTTCAACAACAGCTAAGAAGCTGAGTGTTTTATTGTATATATTAACACTGTATGTTTTATTTCCTGTCATAGAATCCAAGCTTGAAAGTAGTATTAACTAATAATTATGAGACTTTACTAATGGGCCATAACACGAGCATTATAATCCTAAATTTAAAAACAGCAATGTAAAACTGTTTGAGCAAATGTAAAGAAGGTTATTTTATTTTTGACCTTACATTTTATATGGCCTATAGAATTCACCTAGTGCCTTGCAGTTAATTCGTGATCATTCTCTGAACTTACTTATGAAGAAATTGCGCTTCAGCAGTGTGTGTACCAATATGGAAGTAACAAATTTTGTTCGCCTACTTTACAATAAGTTGTGTAAAGGGACAGAAACCTAGGGGGTATATTTACTTGGCTAACACAGACAGTCCCCGAACTCCTAAAAAAAAATAAAATAAGGAAAATCGGAATAAAATTATGGCCTCACCCTAATCTGGTACACACACTACAGGAATACCGAAATTTTTACCGTTGAATTCTTATTTTGTTCGATTGAGATGTCATGCTTCAGTTTCTTCTTATTTATTTTCACTCTAGCTATATATCGCAAAGCCAAGTTCGTCCATCCGACAGTCAAATAAAATCCTCTGAAGTTTCTCAAATTTCCTTGCTTAGGAATGTATGACTCTGAAATCATGTATTTATGTTAAGCTTTAGATTCATCGCAATGTTTTAACAATTCTAATAATAATAGGTTTTTTAGCCCCAAAGTTGTCTTCTGATGTTGGGTCATGGTTTAGTAACTATGAGTTGGGGTTATGCCAGACTAACTCCCTATCCTTCGTCTATGTAATGTGCTAGCGAGTCTGGGCATTTTGAATCCAATGGTAAATTATTCGAATCAGTTCGGACACAAATTCTGAATCGCCGCCATCTTGTTTTTGATGAAATCACTCAATTTTCATTGTATAGCCATATTTTTAAGTACCGGTATTCGAAAATGGGAAAATAAATTCGATTCGATTATGAAATCATCAGAAATTTGAAAATGCCCATTCCTGGATGCAGTACCAGACATAGTGTCTTCAACAAGCAAATATAAAAAAGTTCAGACTTTGAATTTCTTATGGATAGAACCATAATATTAGATTCTTTTGTCTTAACAGTAGTAGTCACAGCTATTATTACATATCGATTATAATCGGTAAGTATGTTGATAGGTATTTGTCTGTCTGTGTGTTTGTCTGTCTGTCTGTTAGATGCACGCGATATCTCACGAATGCAAGATTGGATCTGCTGCAGATTTTGCATGTGCATTCATCATATCTCGTACCAGAAGCCTATTGATTTTGGGCGAATTATGTCGTATAATTAGCGAGTTATCAATTAATTAGTGATGGGATACAAGGTGTCAATATGGAGTAAGAGCGCTGTTTTGGGGGATCCCCTAACTTTCGATCGATAAGTCTTTGGTCTCTGACCGATATTCTCGTTCAGCTTTCTATTGGAAATAATACATGTGATAAAGGTGATAGTGTAAATGAAGTAAAAGGATTTTTGCATACCAGAAATTCCTTCTCACCTCTTAAACTCCATGTTATATTCAGAGCAATTCTTTTTTCGGTCCCTTTTGTTACATACCATGTCAAGTTCTCATTTTGTGGGGACACAGCTGTTGAATCGTTTTCACTTGGTCTTGGTGGATGCTTGATACCTACAGCGAATTGCAAATTTATTTTTAGCTTATATTAAAGAGAGACCTTGTGACTGATATAAAAATCATTGCCGTGCTGCCATCTAAAGGCAGAATCAGAATATATCGTACCTCTTGCTTTACATGTCAGATATCTTCCATCTTTAAGTTTGATCATTTCTATCACATTATAACAAGATGATTTGCATTGAATAGCTTTCACGATATTTGGTGATGATGAGATAAGACCGCAACACAGTAATATCAACCATGCAAGATTTATAATCATCTTTGTAATGTAAAACTGTGATATCTTCTTAAAACTTCTACTTTATCATTATGTAAAACTATAAAAATATTAGATTTGGTTTAGTAATTTTTTATTATCGCTAGAATATGTACAAATTTGGGTTATATGTTAGCTCAAGGGTCTGCAACTTACGGCCCACAGGACACAATTTTGTGGCCCACGGATAAGTGCCAATTTTGCATGATGCGGATATGTGCCAATTTTGCATGGTGCACAGCACGCAAAACGCGTTTTGAATTCAGTCTAATCTAGTATGTGCGAATAATTTCAATTCCTTTGGGTCGCAAAGCATATACCTAAGCTTGTGCGAAATGAACAAAACATATCATAAGATCAATAACCAAAGTTTTATGCCTGCAACTACTAGAAAGCCTATATTATAATAAAAGTGCGACCCGCGGTTGATGGAACTAGTGATTTTTAGAATGTTGAAAACATCCATCTCAAAGAGGGTGGTCTCCTATTTCAAATATTTCATGAGCATCCTTGACGCCTTGTGGGCCAAAAGAAAAAAATACACTTAGTGGAGATATTGTGAATTCAGGGCCAATGGTAATCCTTGTCATGAACAGAAATAATTATCATGACTTGCTTTCTATCCTTTTTTTCTATGCCTGCCTAAGCTGCCTTCATTTTCAGTGATCGATAGGCATGCATCTCATGTGTCATTGGCTATTTTGTTCCATATTGAGTACATAATGTAACATCCCAAACGCACACTGCTCCTGAGTCGGTGTCTAATTGATGGAGTGCAAAAAAGTATATGTGTGCAACTTCTTTCCATTAGTACCTGAGGGGTAAACTATCTCAGCTTTTGGTTGACTTAGGAGATAGATATAACTTATTAACAGTTGACTAATTTGCATATTGATTTTTTTTCTTTGTTTACCTGTACTGCATTCCGTTTTCGAGCTATTGTGGTTTAAAAATAGGCGCTGTTTAATCATAACATATTCTCGAGCTTGTCTAGGTTCAATGAGCCTGAATAAAACTTTGCATCAGGGGATGCAATTACTCTTCAATTTTAGAATGATGCAGATGGGGGATTGTGAATAGATTTACCACACTGTGGACAATTGTGATTCTCTGGCTAATGGGTATATATATTTTCCAGATGTTGTTATAATGTTAGTCTTACTGGCAAAGTTTTTTAAATTTGCCAATTATAATTTAACCGATGTCACAAATACATTACTGAGAATTACATCTATAATTGCAAGAAAATGAATTTACAATAAAGCATTTTCAAAAACTTGGCTCTACAGAAGTGGTAAGCCCATGTGTGTTCTCTGCGAGAAAATTATTTTTGAAGTATCAATAAAAAAGTATTATGATTGAAATGCTCGTCAAGCCATCAAGTTTGCATAAATCAACCAGACGACGAATGAAGGAAACAGAAAATAACAAGTTGTTTGACTAACATGCTTCAATGACTGTGTATCCAGAACCAAAAATCACAAAGCACGAAAAAACAGTTCAAACAGCAAATGATCAACTGGAATGTTCATCTTTACATTCTAATGTACGGTGATCATTGGCGCGAAATTTGAAAATATTTGAATGGTGGCACCAAATGCATTTTCACTTGATATGCGTGATTATAAAATTAAATTTGCACGTGTTTAATTCATGAAAGTTGCAGTAATACTAATTAACCCTCTCTAGCCTTACCAATTACTACATCATATAAGAAATGAAATCGCAGAAGTCTCATCTTATTGAGGGCCTTCCATTTTGCTTGAATTCCTTGACATGTTTTTTTAATTGCTTGAAACGTTTCAAAATTATAAATTAGGACACTAGAATAGAAAATGTTCATCAGCTTTTGTTACTTAAAGTCTTTGGCTTGCGATTGAAAACGTTTTAACGCATCATTTTCCTTGCCAAACAAATGCCTCTTCAAAAATGATATGGGCATTCCTTATTGTAATTTAATATGAATTTATCCCAAAAAGCAGTACGCTAAATGTCTACATGTTTACACTAATAAATCCATCAGTTTGAAACAAAATTAGCAAATCATATTCCATGAAATATCAATATCATGTAAAACAAGTACTAGAAATCATAAATGAAAGGAGATTACCGGTAATTAAAATACCCATTGAAGGTTGTCATTTGGCTGTGCCTAATGACAACCTTGTAGTATTATATTTGTAGTATTGCCATATCACAAATAGTTCTTTTTTAACACTATGTTTTAATCTTTTTCTCCCAACAACCTTCCTCTTATTTGCTCTGCTCACAAGACATAGCCTATTAAAACACAAATTTTCAGTTGAGGTAATCTGTTCTCTTTCAAAATATAAACTAAATTGATTCGAGTACCATATTTTTTATTATTCCTAAAGTTCATTGTAATGGTTTAACTTATGGGTGTGACTGTTATAGATCAAACAATTGCTTATGTGGTGCCAAATATGAATCACTGATGCACAAAGTATACAAACCATAAATATCATTGGCCCTTTATGAGATTAGAATGGATTTGTGTTTATTTTGCTTCTTGGAATAATAAATTTTAAAATGCCTCGTTGTCAATATTTTAGTTGTGAAATCTCCCGTAACCTTTGTTATGTTTTTTTTTCTTCTTAGCGTTGATAACGATGCTTTGTGTTTTTTAAGAGCTGATTTTATATCCGTTGAGTTTGTCTATAAATCATACAAACGATGGATGCGTGCGCTTGCAGATGGATGCGTGCGCTTGCGTGGGATTAAAAGAGGACATTTTATTATTCTCATATTTATTTTGATATGCTGTGAAGAAAACATTAAAAAGGGCTCATAAATTTTATGTTCGAAATATATAATAACATATATTAAATTAATTCAGAATATTTAGAAAAATAATGGCAATTTGAAAATACGTTTGCATTGAGTTATCGGTATTTATTTGTATCTGTAGTTAACCTGTAAAAAGTAATATCAATAATAATTACAAACATATGGAGTAAAAAGGGATTTTTACTAAAGCATATTTACCATTTTCAATATCTTGTCACATAACAACACTGTTGAAATTTATACACAATAACCAAGGTAATCCCTAAGACACACCAACAGAAATGAACCCTCAACTACAGAGAGCAAATGGTCACTTCAGCTTCACAGCTGGTTAGTAATGATCAGCCATCTGTAACTGATAACATCAATGGTCATGCTCAGCCATCTAGGAAAATGCTAGTTGCCAGAAATACAATAAAGATGAATCTTCAAATTTTTTTTATTGCTGTTAGATAGAGTTTATAAGGAAATGTGAATGCCCCACTGTGGTTTAAGACATTTTTTTCAATTTTAGGTACTGTATATATGTCTCATTTGGCCCTTGGACTCTGCCAAGCATTATGGGGAAATATGTATGATTCTGATATGGAAGATGAAGCAGAAGAAAAACAGGATTGTAATCCTTATGTTGACATGACGTATAGAAAAAATGCTGTTACGACATGGCTCATCGAAGCAATCAAAGGTAATTATAAATATTAATATATGCACGATGAAATATAAACTATAATCTAGTACTGTTACTATACTTACAAATGTGAATTGTATGTGTCTCGAGAGAAGTATGTGCAGCTTCAATATACAGCTATGCATTCCTGTATTTATACATTCTATAGCAAATAGCGTATCTTAAGAAGGTCATTAATCTACAGCCACACCCAAGCTAATATTGGCAAATAAATAGTTAACAAAGTCATGTCATTGTTTTAAGTCCTTTCTTTATTATTTCAAATGTATGGGTATATGCAAAAGTATTCAACATTTTTACCTACTTGTATTTAAATTTGGCAAATGTGCTTTTGCTCTATTTTCCAACATCACTGATTGTGATAATGCTCTCATGTAAGTTACAAGGCGTTATATAGTGTAAATGTGTTTTTTGGGAATTCAATTTCCTAGACGACTTTTAGAATGATGTTCATGAAAAAAATGTAGATGCCTTCTGAAGCTCGGATACAATACTTGTTGAAATACTATTATTTCTACTCATTGACAACTACATTTTTATATTTAAAAAAGTACTTTATAAAATATTTTAAATCATGACACCAGATGATGATAGGAAGATTTATTTACGAGACACAGATGATGATGATGGGTGCTTGAGAGAAATATATTTACAAATGACATCTGGAGAGCTCGATAAGGCAGTTGAAACTGCACTTAAAACTGGTAAATACGAACTCTGGTAAATTTTACTCCTTTTGATACCGGTCTTACTCTCAATGAAGCTATTTGGGTGATGATCCACTGTTGTAGTACTTCTTTCTTTTGCTTATCAATTCGAAGTACATAGTCTGAAAATTCAAAACGGCTGTATTCACATATTCACTACAAAAAAATTTAGGACTTTTTTGGAGATTCCCGAAATGTAAGGTACAAAAGCTGTCCAAGTGCACCTAATATTTGAAATCGAATTGTAAATTATTTGAACCATTTTTGGCTAATTTTCGAATAATCGAATCGTGTAGTAAATAAACATACAGCAGCGGAAAAAGTCTTTTGACCAACATTGCCCCATGTTTTGTACCAAGCAATAAGCATACAGCGCCACTTCGCACGTAAATGACGACTAGAAAGCCAGTCTTATAAATGGCATCAATTTTAAACTGACAGCCCTACCCATATTCTTATTTTAGGAAACATGAGACTTGCTTTACTGTTAGCTCAAACAAGAGGCTCACAAGTGTCAAGAGTTGCTATAGCTAAACAATTAATGACATGGGAAGAAATGAAAGCTGATCAACATATTTCAGACACTGCAATGAAAATCTATTCACTGATTGCTGGGAAAGCGGTAATTACTGGGTTACAGACTCTTTCAATCGGCACACTTTGGTTCTACACCACTTTATATTTTTATTCATTTTAAATACAATTGTACTCAATTCAAGTTATATTCTAGTCTCTTCAATTTTGCTTGATCGCTTTCCAACAAATATTATTATAAAATGATTTTCTCGGAAATATATGATGATACAAGCAATATTCTTTCTTGACCTCGTTGATTTCAAACTACTTCCAGCATTTCTGCTTATATCTATCAACCTCTATTAATGCTGTTCTATTTTCTGTTCCTCAGTTGACCATTACAACTTTGGCTTCTCATAGACAATATCCCCAAAACCCTAAAATAATGATGGCCAAATGTTTTTACATACTTTTTAATCATAATTTGAAGCAAATTCTAGCCATTCATATTTGTCCAAATTTGGGCAAATATTCTGTATCAAATAGAAATAATTTTAGACAATAGAATGTCAAGATAAATTCATTATAAAAGTTCGAAGATTGGAATTACCATGGAAAATTTTCAAAAGCTTTATCAGTGTGCTCAATGCCAGGATTGATGTCGAATTTAATGATCAATGCAGAATTTAAATTAATTTTAGAACTGCTCATATGACTGTTAGTTTTGTTGTCTATGGCAAAAACTATTATTCTATTCTTTATTTTTTTTTCAACAGGTTTGGCACTCAAGTAGAGGACGTATCAATGCATGTGAGGGTCTGGATTGGAAAAGATGTTTTCTCATTCATCTGCTTTATATTGCACCACCTACATCCCCTATACAACATGCTGTTGAATTGTACAATGAAGCATGGCAGGTCAGTTACATAACCAATGATCAAATAAAGTATTTCATCAAATACTTAAAAATGGCTAACATCGGAAATTTTTATATCCTAGGGTAAAAGTGAATTGGGAAAATATTGTGTTGCTCCAGCACCTCCTCATATTGAAAGAGAATCAGATCTTGAAGAGTTACCAACTGAACATTCTTCCACTCACGACATATGTTTCCATCTCATACAACTATATTGCAACAGGTAAATCCTTTTTACTCGCATAGGCCAGGATTATAAGATGCCAGATGAACATGTTATGTCTATCCAAATAAGTCAAAACTTCCCAATTCCTGATGTCAGCGTAATATTTGGAATTTTGTATTTATCGTGAGAGAGGAAATTCGATAGAGTGATCCACACCTTATTAGACAAGGTTTTTATATGCATAGGCTTGGATGACGGAAGAAGCTCTAACTAGCTAGGTGATATATGATCTAATGTACTACTACAATGAGATCCTAGGGCACATTTTATATTTACATAGTTATCCCCTATTGAATTTGAACTTCCAAGGCAATACAAGATAATTATATATACGAGGTAAAGCGTGATCCTAAACATGATCCATCAACCATTGACCCAAACACAATTATCTTTTAGGTCTTTTCAATATATCATCAATCACTTTAACTTCAACATCATGATATTATTTTTTTTTTCTATAAATATTTCGTTAACAGTTAATAATGGAGAACTACAGAAATAATATTTATAACATCAAACATATATTTAATTCTTTGATTTCCTATTTTCAGATCTCACAACCTGGACAGCATACTCAGCTCGGGCTCTTCAGTACCATATGCTCTTGACTTGAGAGTGTCATGGAGAGTGTTCTGTGCTCTGCATGTGGCTGGGTATCATCTCCAACTGCAACCAACATCTCGAACTTCACTGCATGTCGCATTTGCTAGTCAGTTAGCAGCTCTAGACCTATGGCAGTATGCTGCAATGGTTTTGATGCATATTGAAAATAGCAGGTTGGTACTCAAGTCAATATATCTGATAGCATTGACCACTTATTAAGTTACCTTGTTTTAGAAAATAATACATGGTTATTGTGGAATCGTAATATTAATTACTCCTTGTAATTTAAAAATATTCGATGAAGTTGCACAATTTTTTAAGAAAGTTTGCTCAAAGCAAGGTCACATGCAATCACTCAGTAATGAGGAGATTGATCAGTTACAGTGACCACAAGTTGCTAATAGCTACTAAGACTATACGGAATTATAATTTGAATTGCACATGACTAAATACTGATTGATACATGACTTGAAGCAATTCATGTCAAGCAGCAAAGCAGCCATAACTAAAGTTCTTGAAAAAAAACTTCAAAAATGATTTTTTTTTGTGTCTGGTGGGTACACTGACTGTAAACGGGTGAGAGTTCACAACCATGTGAGTTTGACGAATGAAAACTGTTTTCTGGAGGGAACGTGAATCGTGTCTAGCTGCAAAACTTTGAATACAACCTATAAATAATAATAATTTATATTATTCAACCACACTCACTAATAGTACCGTAATATCAATCATCAAATTCTACTGATGATGCTTAAATAACAAAAATTCTGTATTTTACAGAGAAAGAGAAATTCATGTTAAAAATCTCCTGTCTTATCATTTGATGTCATCAACTGATGATGAGGTATTCAAGCTTTTATATTATTTTTTTTTATTTATCATAAAATATCACGAATACTTACTCAAAACTAAGTGAAACCATAAAAATTGTAAGACTGACAGAAAAAGTGTTGGAGCATTATGAAATGAAAATCAGTGTTGTGAAGTGATAACTTTGAATACCTTCAATATTCAAACATGGCTCATTTAAGAACTCACCATTGTGCTTCTGCTCACCATTTTTGAAATACTTATCGTATAATATTAGGTATTTTATGCATTTCTTATTGAATGGAATCGAAAAAAGCGTAGTCGAGTTAGTATCGTTTCCTGATAAATTTAACACAAATTATGATTTCTTGTAATAAATATTATTTTACAATTATTGCACGTCAAATTTCTCTATATTCTGTTATTATGTACTGTAATTTTTGTTCTCATTTTCACTCTTCATAGACCAGATATTTCATAATTATACAGGAAAAGGAGGATTTTCTCAGAAGCAGTTTGGCGATTCCCAATTCCTGGTTGAGTGAAGCTAAGGCTTTGCGTTCTCGTTTCTCAGAAGATAAATACAGAGAAGCAGAAGAGTTGGTCAATGCACAACGATGGAGATGTGGACACGATGTTATAATGCGACATATAGCTGCAGGTGGGAGATTATAGAAAAAAATAAAAATGTTGAAAACTGATTCGGTCTGTGCTGTTTTTGCTGGTTCAAGATTTGATATCGGAGTTGTATTGCAATTTTTTTGCGGTCTTAATTTGGAATCAAAAGTTTTGAAGTCATTGTCAGAATATCTGAAATAGAGGAGCCAAGAGTAAAAATAGAAAATTTTAACTGAAATATTTTATTTTACTCTTTTTATAATGAAATATAACATATGAATGGATACTATAATTTTTAAAGTACTTACTATATTTTGTAGTTTATTTTTAAATAATAATCAAGAATTCCCTGTAAATATATTTACTGAATTTCAAGAATATCCTGAATACAGAGATCTGAAAAAGATTATAAATATGAAATGTCATATTTCAACTTGAAAATTCCATTGAAAGTGAGAATCTAACATTGTAGTCTTGTAACCTTTAACATTGATGGGGTTTTTACATGTATTTACTTCTCACATCCTTACTAGATTTTATCTCATGCCTTGACATATGTAAGGTGTCACAAATAAAACAAAAGCAAAGCATCCTGTGTCAGTCCACCTAAAGATATATGCGTTGTGTATGCTCATGCATGTGTCATGCTGTGAACAACTTTATAAGAACAATTTTGGATACCCATGCTAACTCACAGATATGTTTTGTATGTAACCTTCAATAATGGATTCAAAATAAATAAATAAATAGATTGTAAGATGTATATAAGTGTATTGTATATACACCTGGGCTCCATCTCTCTAATTTTTTCTTTGTCACTTGTTTCAGATGCCCTCATTGATGACTATCTACCATATTTACGTTCCTTGCTGGAACAAATCCAAGAGGGCGACCAAGCGTCGCTTATTCCAAACTGGGAATTCGCAGGCAAAGTTTATCTCGATTACATCATAATCAATAATAAAATACAACAATTACAGGAGGTTTGTATTATTTTGATATCGGTTTGTAACCATGTTCATAGATTGACTCACTATGCTCATTTATATTCTCTCCATATAAAATGAATTTTCATTAATATATATATGTGTACATTCTTTTTTCAAAGCGATTATTTGGGATATTTACTTCTCCATTTCATTATTTTTTACATTTCAGTCTGATATGCCGATGATGGAAAATGGTTTAGAGGAATTACAGCAAGCAATAACTTCGTTATGTCATAGAGTAGCAAGAATAGAGACCAGAAATGCAAGGGATAGACTGGCTAAAGCAGGTTGGTATTACAATCAAAGATCATCATCAAATCCAATTACTATATAATATAACATTATCAATTTTATCATGTTTTCATTTATTTCCATACTTAAATTTCTAATCTGATTTTGTGGTATTTTTGTTTTATAGAAATGGGAAAACAAATCCTAAATCTTTATCAAATTGTTCAATCTCTTCAACACCAGAGTGATGACATGTTGTCATCGATGCAGTACAGCGGAACTTCTTCTCTCCTTGAAGGTCACATTGAACAGTTGCGATTACCTGAAGATTATGCAATAGAAGAGTTGAAAATAATGGTGCGAAATCACCTGACTACGCATACATCGGGTGACGATATAACCAAACCGAAATATGTTGGTTGAAACATGTAAAGCATAAAATTTAATCAAGCATCGTGCTAAGGCGCATATGTCAGGTCTTAATGCTGTTTCAATAGGATAGTTGTTTGTAGCTTGTAGCATCCTAAAATTCAGTTTATTTGGTATTGCAGTCATTACTACAAAATGAAAAATGCGGAATTTTTAAAAATCATTTTGTTCATATATTTCTTCTGCTCCTTCCATTATCTGTATTTACATACTGAATAGTGTTGCAATAAACTGCAAATTCAACAACAGAAATATAAAAACTTCAAAGAGTAAGGCGTCGTAGCTAATGAATTCATAAGAAAAATATCTTCTCAACAGTATGTGAAACAGTCCAAATTAAAAGAATATTTGAAATTCTCATTATATGTAATTTGACATGCATTTTTACGACATCTTGATTATGAATGCGTCTTCCTCTTTGCTATATGTTACAAGAATCAATCTCCTGAAGACTAAATAATTCAGTTTTCTTTATAATTGCACCCAAGTCACTGCCACTTACTCTGTTTTTGATTCTGAATTATTGTTACCTTAATATTTTGAGATGTCGTACATCAAGGTAGGATCACAAATCAAACTGCATCACAAAGTTCTACTGTTGAAGTTCATCTTAACCATACTGACAAAATGTTTAAATTGTGATTTGAGCAAATGCATGTTAGATTTTCTGGCAGACATTCCAATATTTTTTTCCACAGCTTTGTATTATATTAAATTTATTCAATTATGACAAGCCCTTCATTGTTTGAACTCATTGATGCGTGGTGCATCTCCTTGGGCAGGATTTAATTGCAGAGTTATACATGACAATACATCTGGTTTTGCTTAATTCATACGAAGCGCAAATTTTTTAAGGGTATTAAACTTTTTGACTCGTATGACTCTTGATATAACAAAAGTGGTAAGTTTATTTCCTTTACAATATATGTAAGATATATTGATATGATATATATAGATATGATATATTGACGGAACTCAGACATGCAATTATCGCCTACCTGTTTGCTGCTAAACAATATTGCAATTTGAATCTCGCGTTCATGTTGCCTCCTTATAAATGAGGCAAGCTTTTAATTCCGCTGGGCACAGTGTTGATTGCAGTCTGTTACAAAATCAAACCTATCAAAACGGAAACGAAATAGTAAATATTACGCACATAACGAGGAAAATTTAGCAATCTTTTCCAATACGCCATTAGGAGGCCTAGTAAATCGAACTTAACCGGAATTTTCTCTATTTTGAAGAATGTCACAAAATTTTCTCCCAGTCCCAAGTCCAATATCTGTGCCACAATATTATTGGACACGAAGTGGACCTATAGATAGTTTTGTATTATGTTGTTGTCTTTCTTGGTATTTTTCTTATCGTTATGAAAAAGTCAACTTTTCTTTTCAACTACTGGACCAGTTGCTTCGAAATTTTTAGTGGTTAAGGATTGTATTTTTCGCTGAAAGGCTATTACTTTTTCGTGTCCATATATTTTGAGCATGGCCCTCTTATTATTCATTAGCGTTGGAGGGGATTACGCCATGGCCACACTGGCGACTAAAAACTGATATGACCTCCGTATACAGACTCTTTTATATTAAGTTTATTTCGACTCCAAAATCAGCCTAATAGACGATAAAATATTCGATGAAAACAATATAAATAGAACTGATTACAGAATCAGGAGGGCAAATAAAACCTCGTAAGGCCGAAAACGTACAGATTCCAGATTGAAAGGTCTTGTCAGAAGAAGTGGTACGTGTTCGCTCACCCAAAAGTATTCGATTAATTAAAACACGCATACAGCATCATTGCTTGGTCGCCTGAATGTTTATATTTTCTGAATGTTTACGTTTCTGCGTTACATTACACTACTATTTTACCCTTTATCAATCGCGTGAAGAGGAATTAAAATTAAAGACAGAAAATATATATGGGTACAAAACCTTACTCGCTCGAACAATTTAGTCTGATTTATTGGTTATTAATTTTAAAAGCTAGAACACATATGCTTCACGGAACAATAACGAGTATAGTAGAAGTATGCGCACCAAGATGTCGCATAACCTGGTACACAATCTGAGTTCAGGTTGTGCGCCATCTAGGTGCGCATACTTCAGGAGGTTCGAGAATAGTTTATAGAAGCAGAAAAGTATTTTTCTGGAGCAGACAGTAGGGTCAGTCTTCTTATTAAGTGGTCTTATTAAGTGGCCATTTTCACTTTGGGTCAGAAAAAAAATCGACAAGACATCTTAAACATTTTGTGAGCTACGGATCTAGTTTGGCCACAGTACGAATGTGAATAGTCGAGTAGTCATTCATTTCATATTGGGGTATTTGGTTGTATTAAGTTGTGATTGGAACATTGGGATGAAAAATTGGTGTTGACGGTGATACTACGGATGATGGTTCATCAAAGGAAACAACGTACAAACATTCAAGGACTGTACAGGAGATGTAGCCATTCAGCTCATGGTAGTTACAGAATTACCTTACATGCAGACATGTCTGCATGCGGTAGCCTAAGTGGTTATGGAATATAAGTGAAAATATAGACAATTATTCTTCATACAGACCTACAATTTCTTATTTTTTAAAAGATATTCATCCTGTTAACGTTTAAGTTGGTCATAATATTGAGATGCTGATAAAACTGTAACAAGCTGCTGTACAGTATCTAGTGTTATGGGATCTATTTTGTATTGATCATATTGTAAAAAAGTGAGAATTGGGAATAATATTAATCTATCGGTTAATGAAGGTTCACATTTAATACTAAATATCTTCGGTTTATCGCAAAACCACTGAGAGATGGTGCAAAATGAACAACACTTTAATAATAAGAGATATAACTGGATACTGTATTGCCTTATCAGTGCCAGTGCATCCAGTTTCAAAAATATTGAATGTTTGTATTTCCATTCATTCAAGACATTCAAAATAAGGCATATATATATATTGTATCAGATTGAATTTGTCATTATCAGCTTTCAAAACTGTTATGAAAGTAACAGCCCTAAAGTTCAATACATTCGCGTATGTTTTTTTTTTTCTGGCTCACGTCTCGTTTGAACTGGGTTTGTATTTTTTGTAGATTTTTTTTTGTTTGTGCTGGTGATCGGGCACGTGATATTTCTCATGTTTTAAACCTTTCAAAAGGTTTTGCTTGCTTTCCAGAATTCTTCATTTATATGTCGTGTATATTATGGAGACAAAATATATATACTATCCATTTACTCAGGTGTAAAGCGTGATTACAAGTTGTGGAATGAATTCTCAGTATTGCGTTATCAAATGTCGTTTCCTTACAGCGGTCTATTTTTGCTGGAGCGTTTGTCAAAAATTTCATATGTAGAAAATTCTGAAAAAAATATAGAATCAAATTCATCGAAATAAAAATTATCCGTGTAACCCACCTGATTATAGTTGAATTTCCCTAATTTCAAATTGGCCAACCAGAATTGCCAAGTAGGATACTAGAACGGATGGATGGGCTACACCGCCAGTCACCAAATTAAAGCAAAAACTAGCCAAATTAGAGTCCATTTTACATCAACTTTTGTCAATCCGTATACAAAAGTAATATATATAACTCTATTACGGTAGTTAAACGGACCTGCCATAATTGCAGTACTTAAGCGGACGTCGTTCCTGTGTCCGTATCAATGTTTTTAAATACATGCTTGGAGAGCGCGAGAGCCGTTGACAACTACGGAGAAAAAGAGTCAACATAATCCTCTCGATAACAGATATAAAATTTTTGTCCGCTTAATTCGTCCACTTAATTCAGACCACCAAATGTTTTAGCCTATTTCGGCACTAAGCCGGACCCCTCTTATATGTCGCTCTGGATGTCTACATAAATGATGTTGCTTTTATTTTAATACGCATTTTAAAGCGTATGACCTCGCTTCAATTTCCGATGGATTCGAACGATTTAGCAATATTTATCACAAAAAATAGCATTTCTTTTTCAATGTTCCGTCTTTCGTGCAAGGGAGATGCACTGTGTTTGGTTTTGGAAATATTCTTCTATATCAAAAAATACTCAAAATGCAACGTGAAGGTAGACAAATCGAAACAAATTGATCCAAACGTGTTATATATTTGAAACTGAGAAATACACATAGCATATCACAAATGTTCGCCTATTCCAACCCTATGGTGTAACATATGGATTAAACAGATGCTATGTTGTGAGTGTCAAGATATCAATACCAAGTCAAAATTATGACATTCCAATAATATTGATAAACATTACACAAAATATATCTCAAATGTCAACTTATCCGACCACCTAAGGGTGGCATACAACAATTGAAAAAAAATTCTTAAATCATATTGAGAAACATCACACAAAATATATCTCAAATGTCCACCTATCCGGCCACCTAAGTGTGGCGTACAAGAATTGAAATGAAAATTCTGAAATCATATTGAGAAACATTACACAAAGTATATCTCAAATGTCCACCTATCCGGCCACCTAAGTGTGGCGTACAAGAATTGAAATGAAAATTCTGAAATCATATTGAGGAACATTACACAAAGTATATCTCAAATGTCCACCTATCCGGCCACCTAAGTGTGGCATTAAACATTAAAATGAAAATTCTTAAATCGTATTGAGAAACGTCATACAAAATATATCTCAAATGTCCACCTATCCGGCCACCTAAGTGTGGCATTAAACATTAAAATGAAAATTCTGAAATTATATTGAGAACATTACACGAAGTATATCTCGAATGTCCACCTATCCGGCCACCTAAGTGTGGCATACAAGAATTGAAATGAAACTTCTGAAATCATATTGAGAAACATTACACAAAGTATATCTCAACTGTCCCCCTATCCGACCACCTAAGTGTGGCATAAAACAATCAAAATGAAAACTCTTGAAATCTTATTGAGAAACATTACACAAAGTATATCTCAAATGTCCACCTATCCGGCCACCTAAGTGTGGCATGAAACATTAAAATGAAAATTCCGAAATCGTAATGAGAAACATTACACAAAGTATATCTCAAATGTCCACCTAAGTGTGGCTTTCAAGAATTAAAATGAAAATTCTGAAATCATATTGAGAAACATTACAAAAAATATATCTCAAATGTCCACCTATCCGGCCACCTAAGTGTGGCATACAAGAATTGAAATGAAAATTCTGAAATCATATTGAGAAACATTACACAAAGTATATCTCAAATGTCCACCTATCCGACCACCTAAGTGTGGCATAAAACAATCACAATGAAAACTCTGAAATCATATTGAGAAACATTACACAAAGTATATCTCAAATGTCCACCTATCCGACCACCTAAGTGTGGCATAAAACAATCACAATGAAAACTCTGAAATCATATTGAGAAACATTACACAAAATATATATCTCAAATGTCCACCTATCCGACCACCTAAGTGTGGCATACAAGAAATGAAATGAAAATTCTGAAATCATATTGAGAAACATTACACAAAGTATATCTCAAATGTCCACCTATCCGACCACCCAAGTGTGGCATAAAACAATCACAATGAAAACTCTGAAATCACATTGAGAAACATTACACAAAGTATATCTCAAATGTCCACCTATCTGACCACCTAAGTGTGGCATAAAACAATCACAATGAAAACTCGGAAATCATATTGAGAAACATTACACAAAGTATATCTCAAATGTCCACCTATCCGACCACCTAAGTGGGGCATACAAAATTTGAAATGAAAATTCTGAAATAATATTGAGAAACATTACACAAAATATATATCTCAAATGTCCGCATATCCGACCACCTAAGTGTGGCATACAACTATTGAAACAAAATTCTGGAATCGTATTGAGAAATCTTACACAAAATATATCTCACACACTTAAGTGTGTGAAATTTAACTGAAATACGAAATTTCGAATACTAATCATATTTTGATGTGGTGGAAAATTGCTCAAAATTTATCTCTAATGTTCACCTATCCGATAACTTGAGAGTGACAAATATTATAAAACAAAATTTTGAAACCATATTGAAAAACAAAACAGAAAATAAATCGCAAATCGTAACCTACTCAGCTACGTAAGTGTGTCATGTAAATGCAAAATGATATTTTGGAATGGCAATAATATTGAGAAGCATTCAAAAAAAATTTCAAGCATCCGACCATTTCAGAGGGTATATAATTAAAACACGAAATTCTGAATAAAATATCGAGAAACATTATACACAACATATCTCAAATGTTCAATTAAGTGACTTTTCAGTGGGGCCTATAAATGCGAAACGAAATTTTGCCATGTCAATTAAAATGAAAAGCATTACACCAATTATAACTCAAATGTCTACCTATCAGGGCGCCTAATTATAGCAGTGATTGATTATACAGTCAACTATACAAGCGATCAAAATGAAATTATTGAACCTCAATATCAATTTAGAATCTTTGCACAATTTATTTAAAATTTTTGCACCAACTCGGAATACAAAAACATGATTGTTATTTTGAATTTATAATTAAATAGTAAAAATGTATGCCAAGTATGTATACGAATGTGGATATGCCCACTAGGTTAAGTTGTTGAGGAGAGACAAGATTATGCTCACTGCCGGTTCATCTTTATGAATTATACAGAGATGTCTTAAAGCTTTACAATAAACTTCTCGCAAGATATACCAATCCGTGCAATTATTTTTCTTTTCGTCGTTTCTTTTCTGGTTCGCGTTTGTTTAAAAGCTTTTTTTTAATTGATTTACAGCCTTTTTCTTTTCCATATATATGGTTTTCTTTGAAATCACTTACATTGCTTATTGAAAGTGATTCTGAAGATGGTGCGGTATAGTCTGTTGACTTATCTGAAACTTTGGTCAAAAATACATGCATAAGTCACAAAACATCATCACAGTGTTTTAGTCCAATTCAGAATTACGCTACTCTTGATTGATCGAACAAACGAAATGTTTGAAATGGATAATTGCATTATTACTCAAATAAACCAGAGTTTCTAAAAGGTGCACTACAATTATTCGTAGATAGCTGCGCTATTTGTGATGGGCTACAAATGATATTATGATTTGGTTTATTACCATTCATTGGTATCAATTTACGATACTGTATTTAATAAAAAAAACAAGCATAGCAAACTCATTTAGTCACCTCCTGGCACAGCTTTCTCCGAATCACTACCCGCATTTCCGTCTGCCAAGTTCTGAAACGTGGGCCATCTCGTTGGAGAGTCACCTAAATGTGAACAAAAAATACAGCCCAGTAAATAACTAGATGAGGATGGTAAAATAACTCAGGGATATGTGCCAAATCACAAAACAAAATTGCTAGCAATGCAATTCTTCAAAACTGTTTTCCGAAGATGAAATATTTTAATCTAATATGAAGCGGTGTATTAGATATTTTTATTTACACCAAACTATACAAACGTCAACCACTCGCTTCTCGTATATTCCTTCTTTTTTGACAAAAAATTGAATTCATTGAATTTCCACAATCAATTCCAAGGATTTGGAATCCTTCTGAATTACACACTCTTACAAACGCAAACCCAGTCGTAGCATTATTTTGATGGTCAGATCAGAACTACGACCAGTAAAAGCATAACAGTATCAGTAGTCTATATTTTGATAATCTGGATTACGTGAAAAATCTCAACACCAAAAATATAGTAACCCTAATATTAAAAATCGTTATGACTAATCACCTTATCCGATGAGTGATGATTTCCAGCAGCATTCCTCGGTGACGTTGAAATCCTTGCTTATTATGACTCGACTTCAACTCACTGGGTAACTGATAACACCTGACACAAAAGACTTGGATTGCTTCTCCAAACACAACTGTTCTATTTTATCTAAATTTCGGCAATCACGCACTCGTGAAGATCCCAATCCTCTCACGGCGCCCAGGTTACTTGCGAACAAAACGGCAAACGTGGTAAAGTTCTCGGCGAACCCGACAATTTTACTATTGCGACACAAAGCCTCTTTAGTACGGAGTTGTGAATTGAGGTCCTTTTCAGTTTATTGAGCTTATATTGCAAAAAACAGAACGGACGATCTTCATGTTCTGCCTGGTTATTGTATCAAAATTATCAAACCTACTCTCCAAAAATCGTAAAAACATATACCGAAAAATTAAAAGATTTTTGCATAAATAAAATGTCCACTTTATGTACGAAAATTCAACCCGTTGATTATAAACCAGCAGAACTACTGTCCCATTAAAGTTGGCGAAAATGTGCAATTATTTAAAAAATATTGAAAGAACATATTATTTTTGATACTGTTTTATCAGAGAAAAAAAGATTTCAGCAAAATATCGCAAAACGTTTTAATTATGGAACGTGGAATAATTAAGCGGACAGGAAAATGTCTACACAATTTTTCCGTCTACATAACTGTCGCTTTTTTAGCACGCTATGTCTACTTAACTACCGTATTAGATATATATATAACTCTATTACGGTAGTTAAACGGACCTGCCATAATTGCAGTACTTAAGCGGACGTCGTTCCTGTGTTCGTATCATTGTTTTTAAATACGTGCTTGGACAGCGCGAGAGCCGTTGACAACTACGGAGAAAAAGAGTCAACACAATCCTCTCGATAAAAGATATAGAATTTTTGTCCGCTTAATTCGTCCACTTAATTCAGACCACCAAATGTTTTAGCCTATTTCGGCACTAAGCCGGACCCCTCTTATATGTCGCTCTGGATGTCTACATAAATGATGTTGCTTTTATTTTAATACGCATTTTAAAGCATATGACCTCGCTTCAATTTCCGATGGATTCGAACCATTTAGCAATATTTATAACAAAAAATAGCATTTCTTTTTCAATGTTCCGTCTTTCGTGCAAGGGAGATGCACTGTGTTTGGTGTTGGAAATATTCTTCTATATCAAAAAATACTCAAAATGCAACGTGAAGGTAGACAAATCGAAACAAATTGATCCAAACGTGTTATATATATTCGAAACTGAGAAATACACAGAGCATATCACAAATGTTCGCCTATTCCAACCCTATGGTGCAACATATAGATTAAACAGATGCTATGTTGTGAGTGTCAAGATATCAATACCAAGTCAAAATTATGGCATTCCAATAATATTGATAAACATTACATAAAATATATCTCAAATGTCAACTTATCCGACCACCTAAGGGTGGCATACAACAATTGAAAAAAAAAATCTTTAATCATATTGAGAAACATCACACAAAATATATCTCAAATGTCCACCTATCCGGCCACCTAAGTGTGGCATAAAAGAATTGAAAAAAAAATTCTTAAATAATATTGAGAAATATTACACAAAGTATGTCTCAAATGTCCACCTATCCGGCCACCTAAGTGTGGCGTACAAGAATTGAAATGAAAATTCTGAAATCATATTGAGGAACATTACACAAAGTATATCTCAAATGTCCACATATCCGGCCACCTAAGTGTGGCATTAAACATTAAAATGAAAATTCTTAAATCGTATTGAGAAACATCATGCAAAATATATCTCAAATGTCCACCTATCCGGCCACCTGAGTGTGGCATTAAACATTAAAATGAAAATTCTGAAATCATATTGAGAACATTACACGAAGTATATCTCGAATGTCCACCTATCCGGCCACCTAAGTGTGGCATACAAGAATTGAAATAAAACTTCTGAAATCATATTGAGAAACATTACACAAAGTATATATCAAATGTCCACCTATTCGACCACCTAAGTGTGGCATAAAACAATCAAAATAGAAAACTCTTGAAATCATATTGAGAAACATTACACAAAGTATATCTCAAATGTCCATCTATCCGGCCACCTAAGTGTGGCATGAAACAATAAAATGAAAATTCCGAAATCGTAATGAGAAACATTACACAAAGTATATCTCAAATGTCCACCTATCCGGCCACCTAAGTGTGGCATACAAGAATAGAAATGAAAATTCTGAAATCATATTGAGAAACACTACACAAAGTATATCTCAAATGTCTACCTATCCGGCCACCTAAGTGTGGCATACAAGAATTGAAATGAAAATTCTGAAATCATATTGAGAAACATTACACGAAGTATATCTCAAATGTCCACCTATCCGACCACCTAAGTGTGGCATAAAACAATCACAATGAAAACTCTGAAATCATATTGAGAAACATTACACAAAGTATATCTCAAATGTCCACCTATCCGACCACCTAAGTGGGGCATACAAAAATTGAAATGAAAATTCTGAAATAATATTGAGAAACATTACACAAAATATATATCTCAAATGTCCACCTATCCGGCCACCTAAGTGTGGCATACAAGAATTGAAATGAAAATTCTGAAGTCATATTGAGAAACATTACACAAAGTATATCTCAAATGTCCACCTATCCGGCCACCTAAGTGTGGCATACAAGAATTGAAATGAAAATTCTGAAATCATATTGAGAAACATTACACAAAGTATATCTCAAATGTCCACCTATCCGACCACCTAAGTGTGGCATAAAACAATCACAATGAAAACTCTGAAATCACATTGAGAAACATTACACAAAGTATATCTCAAATGTCCACCTATTCGACCACCTAAGTGTGGCATAAAACAATCGCAATGGAAACTCGGAAATCATATTGAGAAACATTACACAAGGTATATCTCAAATGTCCACCTATCCGACCACCTAAGTGGGGCATACAAAAATTGAAATGAAAATTCTGAAATAATATTGAGAAACATTACACAAAATATATATCTCAAATGTCCGCATATCCGACCACCTAAGTGAGGCATACAACTATTGAAACAAAATTCTGGAATCGTATTGAGAAATCTTACACAAAATAGATCTCACACACTTAAGTGTGTGAAATTTAACTGAAATACGAAATTTCGAATACTAATCATATTTCGATGTTGTGGAAAATTGCTCAAAATTTATCTCTAATGTTCACCTATCCGATAACTTGAGAGTGACAAATATTATAAAACAAAATTTTGAAACCGTATTGAAAAACAAAACAGAAAATTAATCGCAAATCGTCATCTACTCAGCTACGTAAGTGTGTCATGTAAATGCAAAATGATATTTTGGAATGGCAATAATATTGAGAAGCATTCAAAAAAAATTTCAACCATTCGACCATTTCAGAAGGTATATAATTAAAACACGAAATTCTGAATAAAATATCGAGAAACATTATACACAACATATCTCAAATGTTCAATAAAGTGACGTTTTCAGTGGGGCCTATAAATGCGAAACGAAATTTTGCCATGTCAACTAAAATGAGAAACATTACACCAAATATAACTCAAATGTCTACCTATCAGGGCGCCTAATTATAGCAGTGATTGATTATACAGTCAACTATACAAGCGATCAAAATGAAATTATTGAACCTCAATATCAATTTAGAATCTTTGCACAATTTATTTAAAATTTTTGCACCAACTCGGAAAACAAAAACATGATTGTTATTTTGAATTTATAATTAAATAGTAAAAATGTATGCCAAGTATGTATACGAATGTGGATATGCTCACTAGGTTAAGTTGTTGAGGAGAGACAAGATTATGCTCACTGCCGGTTCATCTTTATGAATTATACAGAGATGTCTTAAAGCTTTACAATAAACTTCTCGCAAGATATACCAATCCGTGCAATTATTTTTCTTTTCGTCGTTTCTTTTCTGGTTCGCGTTTGTTTAGAAGCTTTTTTTTAATTGATTTACAGCCTTTTTCTTTTCCATATATATGGTTTTCTTTGAAATCACTTAAATTGCTTATTGAAAGTGATTCTGAAGATGGTGCGGTATAGTCTGTTGACTTATCTGAAACTTTGGTCAAAAATACATGCATAAGTCACAAAACATCATCACAGTGTTTTAGTCCAATTCAGAATTACGCTACTCTTGATTGATCGAACAAACGAAATGTTTGAAATGGATAATTGCATTATTACTCAAATAAACCAGAGTTTCTAAACGTTGCACTACAATTATTCGTAGATAGCTGCGCTATTTGTGATGGGCTACAAATGATATTATGATTTGGTTTATTACCATTCATTGGTATCAATTTACGATACTGTATTTAATAAAAAAAACTAGCATAGCAAACTCATTTAGTCACCTCCTGGCACAGCTTTCTCCGAATCACTACCCGCATTTCCGTCTGCCAAGTTCTGAAACGTAGGCTATCTCGTTGGAGAGTCACCTACATGTGAACAAAAAATACAGCCCGGTGAATAACTAGATGAAGATGGTAAAATAACACAGGGACATGTGCCAAATCACAAAACAAAATTGCTAGCAATGCAATTCTTCAAAACTGTTTTCCGAAGATGAAATATTCTAATCTAATATGAAGCGGTGTATTAGATATTTTTATTTACACCAAGCTATACAAACGTCAACTACTCGATTCTCGTATATCCTTCTGTTTCGACAAAAAATTGAATTCATTGAATTTTCACAATCTTCGTTTGTATTTTCATCTGGATTTAGAAATCCTTCTGAATTACACACTCTTACAAACGCAAACCCAGTCGTAGCATTATTTTGATGGTCAGATCAGAACTACGACCAGTAAAAGCATAACAGTATCAGTAGTCTATATTTTGATAATCTGGATTACGTGAAAAATCTCAACACCAAAAATATAGTAACCCTAATATTAAAAATCGTTATGACTAATCACCTTATCCGATGAGTGATGATTTCCAGCAGCATTCCTCGGTGACGTTGAAATCCTTGCTTATTATGACTCGACTTCAACTCACTGGGTAACTGATAACACCTGACACAAAAGACTTGGATCGCTACTCCAAACACAACTGTTCTATTTTATCTAAATTTCGGCAATCACGCACTCATGAAGATCCCAATCCCCTCACGGCGCCCAGGTTACTTGCGAACAAAACGGCAAACGTGGTAAAGTTCTCGGCGAACCCGACAGTTTTACTATTGCGACACAAAGCCTCTTTAGTACGGAGTTGTGAATTGAGGTCCTTTTCAGTTTATTGAGCTTATATTGCAAAAAACAGAACGGACGATCTTCATGTTCTGCCTGGTTATTGTATCAAAATTATCAAACCTACTCTCCAAAAATCGTAAAAACATATACCGAAAAATTAAAAGATTTTTGCATAAATAAAATGTCCACTTTATGTACGAAAATTAAACCCGTTGATTATAAACCAGCAGAACTACTGTCCCATTAAAGTTGGCGAAAATGTGCAATTATTTAAAAAATATTGAAAGAACATATTAATTTTGATACTGTTTTATCAGAGAAAAAGAGATTTCAGCAAAATATCGCAAAACGTTTTAATTATGGAACGTGGAATAATTAAGCGGACAGGAAAATGTCTACCCAATTTTTCCGTCTACATAACTGTCGCTTTTTTAGCACGGTATGTCTACTTAACTACCGTATTAGATATATATATATATATATATATATATATATATATATATATATATATATATTAATTAAGGCAGTATTATACTGAGGTAGGAGAATAGATTATGGGATTATTATAGTTTTAAGCAAGGTTTGCCCAGTTATAGTCATGAATTACAGGCAAGGAAATATAATTAAGGTTGTCGATTACTATAGGGTCATTTCAAATTTATCATAGATGATTCATCGGTCTTTGTAAATTTTATTAATGTAGAGACCATTAATGTTGAACAAGCTAGCTATTGAAATCATTTGATAATAGCGAAACGACCTCGAATACGAAAAATAAATCTGCGAGTAGAATATTTAATGATTGCATATATGGAAACAGCAGAGGACTAGACATCATAATATAGCTTCCTTCTTTTGTTTTTAACTTACCTAACTTATTACCAAACACAATAAATTGAATTGGCGAATGTGAACCATATATCGTTATATATATATAACAAAATACAGTTTTGTACATTATATTCAACAATATATATAGGATAAAAATTAAAATGAAGAGGAGAATATAGGAAGAGTATAAAGGTTGGAGTGCAGAGTTTATAAAGGAATAGGTATTTTGGGATTTGGGTGATACTATAAATCTTTCAAATTGTAATTCATTAGAATAAATGAGAAAATTCAATCGAAACGTATTGTTTGCAGTGATGTGCCGAGACATTATATTGCATCGCATATGACGATTAGCGCGTTATATTTGGCGTTCCATATTTCACATTTATGTATAGCGAAACATGTTAATGTAGCCTACGTATAGTGACATACATCAATGACGTTTGAGTTGTTCTTATTATGTAATCTCATTTCAGCTCTGGTATTGTTACAGAGCTATAGTTTCAGCACGGTTTTCTGAAAATGATGAGACCTGTTGTTAGTGTGTTCGATGCGGAACACAATCTGGCATATTTCCGACGGAGTCGGTGCTCATTGTTCAGCTGGTGTCTTTCCGTCAGCTATGTCGAATTGCCACAGATGTGTACGGTGATTTTAGTGGGATTTTGATTTGAAGTTCTTAGATAAACAGATGACGGATTTCATTGTAAGCTCCACAGGTTACCGGCACTGACTCACAGTCTTGATAAACGACTTCGGTGTAACTACCGGTACTGCGGTCAGTCTTATCCATACATTTGAGCAGTGCTCTTTTCACCTCAAAACTTGATGTAACATTCATATTTTAAAATTATTTTAATTCTTACTATTTTGCTTGATTTAAACGCCACTGCATATTCATGTAGCATTTTCAAGTAATTTGTGTCGTTACAAAAAGCAGCAAATTGCATGAGTCGCGCGGTGCGGGAGATTTTTTAAGATTGAAAAGTGCTGCGGACCAAAAAATTTGAAAGCGGTAGCGTAAAAAATAAAATGGTAATGGCGTACAAAGCACTTTATATTTTCGCTTTTTGTCTTCTGAATTGTTCATTTTGTTGTCTCATTTAGTAATACTGCGAGGGCAGTGTGCAACCTGAAAAGTGGAATTACTCGTCTACGATGATCTAGATTCTAGAACAGGGATGGCGAACCACTGACCCGCGGGTCACAAAGCGACCCACCGCGTTTTATTCGTGACCCACCAAGGCAAAAAAAATGCTAACATATATGTGATAAAAATTGATAAAACCGACCTTAAATTAATCTAACAATAACTAAACTAGTATAATGTACCGTCAGTTGGGCTGTCAGGGCTGCGATCGCTCATATTTAAATTGTTAATTTCCGGGCCGGTATGGTAATTTTCAAAACCCCCAATCTTCGACGCATGTCTGTACCGTTGTCTACCGTTATTCAGCTATTGGCGTTTATGACATAGCAATGCAATTGATCTGTTCATTTCTCACAACATCTTGTCTCTTTCGGAAGTGCATCTGCAGACTATTTTAGGGTTTATACAGGAACTAGACTAGATGCTATTTCGCATTGCATTAGTTTCTCGCCTACAATGCCGTGGAAAAAACAAAAAATTTCGGACTTGAAATAAAAACCTAGAAATCTGAAATAGCAATGGGGCAGTGCAAAAGTCCCGTAATGTGGTTGGAAGCTCATCGAAAATATAACACTATCAGAGTGGAATTCCCTCCAAAATCTTTGGAACCGTAAAATAATTTGCCGCATCATACTAAACATTTTTGGGAATTCATATGCGTGTTTTCGTACTCTAATCGAGTGCCATAAAAAGTCCCTGATAGAAGTGCTGCATAAGAAGCTGATAATAGAAGCATATAAGATTGGTTTCAGAAGTTTCTAATAGATACAAACATTAATTGAATATCTGTGACCCACTGTCTTCTGTTCCGCGATAAAAATATAATTTTTGACCCATTCATTGAGAAAGGTTCGCCATCCCTGTTCTAGAAGATAGAAAATCGATTTAGATGCACTTGATCTAATTGTTTTTGTTTTTTATTTTATTTTAAGTGATTAGAAAGTGGAATATGTTGCCTTTTTTGCGTGCAAGCATAAGCAATCATACATACAAAACAGTATAACCATTGAGTATTTGCCCCAACTACCATATATTAAGGAGGGCGATATTGAATCTTTATCGTGGAATTAAAAAATGCCCTCGGACAATTGATTTCAATATTTAACATCACCTTATCATTAGGAATACAATGAGAGAAAACAAAGGATCAATTGTGATGTATAAGATCAAATATTTTTGATCCGTCAGACCTCTAACGACCTCGCTCCAAGGTTAATACGATACGTCCTTGATAAAACCGATCTGTACATATAAAGCCGATGGGTTCCGTGTGTGTATATATACATAAATGATATGATGCATATCCCAGTATTTGTTTATCCGTGCCGATTGCTCTGTGGTTGTCACTCATTCAAATTACTATTTATCGTTAAAAAAAATAGCAGAAACCATTTTATACATTTGGGTTTTTTGACAAAATCGAAATATTGAGGATTGGAATAGGGTTCTTTTGTCAAAATATTTTATAATTACGTTGGTGAAGCTATTCAAAATGGACAGCGCAGGGAAATTGACAAAGCGGTCATTGCCTAATTTATGTGTATATAAATACATATATAGAGTGTCAAGTAACCTGACGGTTAAACGGATATCTAACAATGCATTCGGCTGACACTGTTCAATCTAATTTCCACTCACATTAAAATATTTTAACGGAGTTATATCAGGCGATGAGGCGATCAATTTTAAGCAGTTTCCATTTGCAAGATTTTTGACTACGGTAGTTTCGCTCGTATACAAGATAGGTCGAAAACCGAAAACAAGTCAGCATGTTTAGGAATATCCTTCTGTTATCCATAATTAATAAATGTCCAACACCTCCGCAAGCAAATGGAATGTATACTTTGGCACATATATATATAAGGCACGATACGATACGATGCATCTATGCTTCACAGAATTTGGAATTCGAACATCTGGAGTCAATCCTCAACGTCAACAACGCAACGCAAAGATCGAATATTTAACTCTGTGTTATCATCTTCCCAATTAGCATATCTCAAGGTTTAATAAGTCTTCACTGGTAACTTGCAACTTCATATCGGGATTTTGCTAAATAAACATCGTGAGGAGTTACATATGGGACTTGTCAAAACACACATGAACGTACATATATGACGGACAATCTTTTTTCTTTTAAATAATAATAAAAGCGCCTAGAATCATGTATCAATAAATCGTTTCTGGCAATTATGGACCATGCACGTTTCTCGGATTGCTCGAAAATTCTGTTTCCACCCAGTGCTGCAATTACGTAAACGGTTATGAATGCAATAATTTATTCTAATAAATAACAATCTTACAAAACTATTATAAATTACGGTAGGAAAACAAAAATATATATATATAAAAGGGCAATGATAATATGATAAATAAAATGTGATTTTCGACTGTCTATACGTATTGCGAAGAAATATGTGCATAAGAAAGTGTGATAGGTTGAATTTTCAACATTTGCTTTTATCGATAAAAGTTTAGCTTGCAAGTAAATAGCAAAGTAAAAATGTCATTTGCTTCAGTCGCATAAAATTCTTGGACGGAATGCGGTGAACTGTTCATAAGTATGTTTAAAACACATGAGAAATTCTGAATATTGACGGAGAAATTGATAACTCCTGGCTGTCTCTAGGACTTGGCTTGGTAGAGATCGTATAGGTTCCGAGATGATCGATTCCACAAGTTGATTGCAAGTGCGTTGATTTACCTATAATAAGAAAAGAACATGAAAGCATCTGAAAGTACTAACTAGATAATTGTTTTTAAAAAGATGATGTCCATCTATATCTTCAATTTGATGCATCTATGAGCGCATGTAATATCCCCAACACGTTGAAATTTGAAGCAGTTTGCAAATAAGCATCTAATAGAATAATGTTAGAAACGTTAGTTAGCGAAAATTATTTATGAAAGGGTAATGTTTTAAACTTCACTCACGTCTGATCGAATGAGTCTGGCAAATACAGCATATAGTTTTGTCTCAATTCTCAGATCCTTCTTAATATCCTCCGAAATGGCTTTACTGGCGCTTGCATGAAAGTGTTCCGACAGATAATATTGGTACGTATGCATGCTTTGATAATTTGACTGAATAATACGATACCATTCATCTCCCGTTCGCTAGAAAAAGAAACGTGAAATCACATTTGAAATTCATGGCTACATTATGGAAAAAGCTTTGGCATGTTCATCCTGACGAATTCAAGGTTGAAAGTAAAATTAATTGAGTTAGATGTAAGCAACATATTGTTTTCCTAAAGGTAAAGCTAAATTTAGAAGATTTCGTAGAAAGATGTGAATTAATGTGAATAGATGATGTTGATTTACTCATGTAAAAATATTTACTAACCGGTGATCCAACAACATCTGTGCACGATGGGAGATTTCTGAGTTCTAAAGATGATGGGTCAATTTTACAGTTGCGACCAGGTAGACAATCCAGTTCTTCAGAAATCTACAAAATTGAGAGAAAGAAAATGCGTTAATATTATTTACTGTATTCTTCTTTTTCACGTTTCATTAATATTAAATTACTCACAAATCGCCCGAATGCATCGTCGATGTCGAAGTGTATTTTATTCAAAGCTATTTTTGCATCAAACGCATCTCGCAGCAGGAGAGGATGAGATTTGATTCCGGAGAAAAATTTGATCATGTATAAAATCCAAAACAATAACTTAGGGCGTACTTGAGAACGCGTATAGTTTGGTTTCATTCTTTCACAAATTTCCAATTTACTGAATTTGCTTTTCCCGTTATCGTGTTTCAAGTTGATATTTATTATTACCATTTCTTCGTCAGATGTTTACAGGTGGACTCGTTGAAATCATTTACCATACTGCGAATACGACGAGCTTTGGAGCAATATATAGACAATTCTTCTGCGTCGAAGCGCAAAGATTCCTCAACAATCCTTGATAAACTATGTCAGCAGGCAGATGGTAACGTCAGCTCATATCTTGCTAAATAATGGCATATGTGAAAATCTCGTCATTCAATCTACCTTTGTCTTAGGATTAATGGTTTATTGTTTACTCTAAGCTGCGTTTGATTAACGCACGTGTCTGGTAAAGTAATACATTTATCGTTGTTTCCATAAGAAAACATGCCCCAAAGCAAGCATACCAATAAAATGGTCCTCATTTAATCAATTATGTAAATTGCATCTTACACTATGACCTAAAATTAAGATTGCTGAGGCACTTGGAATGAAGGACAAAAAAATCAATTATCATTATATTTTGGTTTTATGAATGTCATGACGTAATAGTGGATTATAGGTTTTGTTGAGATATATGACAGTCTAATCGTTTAATTTGTGTACTAACTACAATTATTCAACCACATAAGTGTGGAGGCATTGTCTCCTTTAGGCTTATATGCATGTGACGTATCAAATGCGAGAATGTTTGCTAACCGGTCTAAATATGCACGTACAGCATCGAAACTGGGACATAATAACGACATATAGAAATACCACATTTGAGTTTTCAGCCGACAAGGAATTTTTCAATAGGCCGAAATCATGCGAAACCCCTGTAAATGTCGAGACCAAGCGAAAGAAAACTTTCTGGTTATTCAAGACAAGACCTTTGATACATACGATTTTCGTAGTTTTTTCTTTTGGCCTATCAATTTCTTCCTTGGTTTTATTAAAAAAATTCCAATTCCGCCTATTGATTCCGGTACGATCCCTAATTTTTTGTTCTGTTTTTAAATTAAACTTTTAAATGACATCTTCATATTTTCAAATTCTGCTATCAACAAGAGAAGGAATGAGAAGAAATTTTCAGCTTTGAGAATGAGGCGTTCTGGTGTACAAATATAGGTTATAATAGGATAGCATATTTATCCTGGAGTAAAGAAATGTCGACAAGACAGCTTATTTCTTACCAGAGTACGAAACCCTAACCTGGTGCACATTCTACGTTCCAATGTCCGCTCTCTTGGTTCACATACTTCGGGAGTACCCAATGGTTCACCATATGATTAAGCTGACAACTTGGGATGCCCAGTTGGTGTTTGTCGTAGCTTTTGCACAGCAGCTGGTCCTTTGAATTTCTTACTGGACTCTCCAAGTGTGGAACTAGTCGGAGAAGTGGGAATCAAGTTAGGCAATGGTAGTACAAATGTGGCACAAGTGTGAGACAAGTTTGGTACAGATGTGACACGTTTGGAACAATTCTAAGGCAATTGGGCGACAAGTAGGGATGGTACAAGTCTGTGAAAGTGTGGGACACCACATTTTTGGGATATCTCATGAACATTACACTTGATTGTGAATACACAACTTTTGTACCTGTCATAAAAACTATGTCATACTATCCCAAAAAACTTCTACGGAAGAGGCAATTTTTAATGTCCATTGATCTATCTATACCCAATTCAAAAAGTATATTAGTAGTAAAACATTGTTTGCTAGACTCGGGTCCATGGCGAATCGGATCATGTATATCAAAGACTCTTGTTATCGCAGCGGTTTGCAGCAGTGTCTTTAATGATTGACAGGCGAGATTGTATGACGTCATAGTTAGAATGTTCTGGAATGCATGTCACTTCCTGTCTCTGGCCTGTAAGCTGTAACACGAGTTAGTGCTGTCCCTGTATAGTTCAGACTTAGTATGGCTATATCAATACTATTTTAGTGTCAAATTTTGTTGTTTGAATCTGCATGTATAAATATGAGCCGGTACTGGTATTGAGTTCAGTTGCATATTGTTTTGACGAAAAGGTAATTGATTGTTATGTTCTTGTTTACACAGTTTGTTAAAATAATCTGTCAGAGAAGCACCGAATTCAATGTTAGTTACCGCAGTCTCAACATTGTAATTACTAATTAGCATATAACCGGGACACAATATTTCATGTTTGATAACATTACTGCATTATTTCTGGACTTTGTCCTGTAGAAGCGGATTTTCATGCTATTAAAATATTGAAACACGAGTCAAGCTGCATTGCATTGTTATTAGATCAGTCTGCTAGCATTCCATCAACAGACTAAGGAAGGGATCGAATGCCTGCAGCCACAACTCTAGTTAACTTATCGAAACGACTCGGACTCGACTACCAGGTCCACTTGACTTGGAACTCGAAGATGAATATGAGCGAGTCAGAGTTATTTCAAAAATCGGTTTAATTCAACTTACCAAGTTGATTCTAGCAAAAAATCGAAAATCTGTCTAGCTCAGGGTGGTCCAAGTTTGTCGGATCCGCGGGCCACAAATTTATTTTTTCATTGTTCGCGGGCCACAATAGTGCCAAGAATAGGTAAACAGTGCAATACAAAACAGACACTTTTATTGTGCAAACACATAGTTATCAGACATAGCGATCCCAGGCTAATAGAATCCGCATTCGATTTTTAGTTTTCTATGATACCTCTATTGTTAGCATATATTCCCGACCAAAAAGATAGAAAGCCAGATAATAATTTAGACTGCCAAGCACATCATTCAACTTCGCCATTTGCCCCGGCTACCCATAACACTAGTCAATTCAGTGACATTAGTGATGTAACAATATGTCAAAAGATTTTTCTGATTAATTTTATTAGTTCGAAACAACACAAAATGCGATTTATTGATTACTCTCCGAATATGAGGCGGGCCACAGATAATAAAGCGGCGGGCCCGGGTTTGGACCACCCTGGTCTAGCTTATTGCAGCAGTAATTCATATTTGATTAAATCATATTTTGACCTTCAAAATAACGTCGATTCGACGCAAGATGGAAATTTCAGTGTCAATGTGATGCAATGTTGTTTATGAAATACTATGAATCCGACTCAAAACGACGTCGACTCCATTCGCCGGGCACGAGCTTCAATAAAATATTTTAGGACTCGAACCTGGCTCCTGACTCAGATTAACGGTGACCCGACTTGCAAATTGAAGTCTAGGAACTTATACCCAACACTGCTTACAGCAGAACACATTCTTTGATCTAGCCCAGGCCTACTCAACTGGCGGACCGCGATCCAAATCCGGACCTTTTGGGTATTCGGACCGCGCCTAATTTTTTTTATTTTGGATTATTAGCCCCACTTTTGAATTTTTCTCTTATAAAATCACTTTTATAGATTTAAATATATATGAAAAGACCTATAACGCCATAATAAACAATCTTGATTAGCCGATAAAGTGCGTGTTTGAGGATGCCGAAATAAAATTTCTGGAAAGACCGGACCGAAATATTTTTGAAGTTTTGTATGCGGATCATCGGTAAAAATAGTTGTATAGCCCTGGTCTAGCCTGCAATGGTGGGTACAAATTTCTGCTGATCAGTAGGCCTACATCTTTCGTGGTATATATTATTATGCTTGTCAGCCTCCGGATTATTGACCACAAAACTCATTGTTTGTCGATTTCCACTAATTAAGCAGGAATTCGTTACTGGGCATTGTCATCGATGACATAACGGAGGGAAATCAGAAGATATAAGCACAACAGTAAGGAACCTCAGAAAAAAAGGGGGTAAAATACGCGAATAAATATATAGTTTCACGAGAATGTACTTGATTATGTATTCAATACCGTTTCGTAAGTACGGACATTGCCAGCTCGTTGATTTGTTTTTAAATTTGTTGCCACTTTTTGCACCCCAGTGACCTGAATTCGGCCCGAATACACGAATTCCTGTGTTGGCAAAAATGGAACAAGTTTCGTCATTTTCTCGTGTATAGCACTGACACTATAGTGTCCAGCACTTTATGCTCAGTGGCAATGAAGCCTAGAATTAGGGGATTCATACAACCAGTACATGACTGCTACCATCAAATAACAACCCCGCTGCTTGGGACGCTACTTCAGTTTTTTCTATTAGTGCTCCGACATATGACTCAGCATTATTTTGATGTGTTTGAACTCACTAATGTGTGTCTATAATCACTATATGTCGCTGATGAGCTATCTTTCTCAAAGCCCATGATGAAATAAAATAGCTGAATCTGAATTTGCCAGTTTTCAATTCTGTGAAACTATGTTAGCCTGACTTCTGCTTTCGCTATCCCTACAGGATCAACACCCGCAGAAAAATTAGACAAAGCGCGATAACGTCATAATGGCTTAGTTCGTGTTTCAATGAAATCGTAAAAACTAAATTAAAACAAAAATAACTTTACAAATGGAACGTTGGTAGATTCTGAAAATTCACAAATTCTTCATATTTCTCATCATCCAGTATGAGTTAATATCATTTTCCTCCCGATTTAGGCGATATCTTCTTTCATGCAAGGTATTGTTGTTCATGCCATAGCCGGTATCAAGACTATGAGATATTTTTTGTAAACAAAATAAAATATTTTTGTTCAACTTCAATTGTTCTCGGCTAATAGCTAGTCTATCTTGCATAACTGAGAGTTTTGCTCTCTCAGTGAGAATTTTCTCCTTTTTCATTTCAATCAACTCTTTTCTAAAATCATGGTTTGTGTCGTACAGTGTTGAAATTCTTTCATTGGATCTTTTTTCTGACGAACTTGAGTTTTCCGTGATATGTTCCCTAGATTGATCTAATTTTTGATTCCAGCAATTGAGGTCGATATTGTTATACGGATTAAACCTACGATGAGGACCTCGGTAGCGAATCCTTTTATTTGGAGACTTTGTTGGGATAATTTCAATAGGATCATGCCTCGGTTTCTTCTTATCTTTTCTTTTAATTTCCAATCTTTTGGCTGGCATCCGATATGTTCTGTGTACTTTCATTCTCACTTTCTCCCGTATTTTACCAGTAGCGTCACCATTGGATGAGTTTGATTTGAGATTCTTTTGAGTTGTGCGAAGTGGTGGAGTGTTCAAAGCCTCTTCGTTGTCATCGTCATCGCCGTCGTTCGAATCACTTCCACAATCGTATGTGAGAGGTGGTGGAGTCTAAATGAATAATAAAAATCATTGTCATCTTTTTTATGCGAATGGATCAAACCTACAGTGGCTGATTTTGAAAAGATATCTAATTTTATTGGACAGAATGAATCTATTCGGGATCATCTGCGAAAAAAGTTCATATATATAACGAGTATATTTCGTATTATACAATTAGGAGAGCTAAAATATACTGTGAGTTATATCAATGAAAATACCACAATAAATATTTCAACTACACACAATAGAATAATAATTTCGGTGCAATAGAATTTTTTTCATTTATGAACAAGTGATATTACTTGGCGAACGGTCAAATCTTCATTATTTCTTCTTCATGTTGACGAACTAGATTGAATGAATTATGTGCATTCATTGCATGATACACTTACTTTATGACAGAGTCATTATTTTCATCGTCCACATTTTTTTCAACTTCGCCTTCTGTGAAAATAGCTTTGATTATTAGCATTTCTAGTAAATGGAAAATCGTTATAAAGGGAAGCGTGACAGTTGATTTCGTATATTCTTTATAATAATTGTTATATAAATTGTTAACACAGGCTGATTAGACTGTTATGAGGGAAGCATACAAGACATAATTGAATAAAACACGATAGCGTGGGTACAATTATATACGTGGCATTCTATTACAGGCGGTCTCAATAAGAGTATTCATCAAACAATTCTAAACACATGAACCTTGAACAAAAGACTGATATAGTTCACTATGAAAGAGGTTTCGCGCATGCTTACATTATTGTTAATTCCAGGATCATCTGGTTGGTCTAAACGATTGTTGAATATGGCAGGTTACGGGTATAATATTTCGGGAATAATACGGTCAACCACTGCAATAGATTACAAAACGAACATAAAATTTTGATGCTCGATAATTTCAGTCCAAATGTCATTTACGCCTTTTGTTGATGGCGTTTCTAATCTTCAACTGCAATATGCTTATGGTTAACTTTCATAAACACGGCTGAGGCCTTCACTTTTTCAAGACTTTGGGTGGATTATAATAACTAAAAAAAAATGGTTCTCTTG